TTCTTTGTGTGTACTGTACAACAGCATATTCGAAAAGTGCTGTAAATCAGATGTGGATACTCTAAAAATCTGAGTAACTTAATTTTAGAAAAATTCCACCATATTCAATAACATTACAACGTACGACTTTTCAACATTTTATACGACCATTCTTCACGATAAACTAAATACTTGGTTTTGTGACATCACTGACATCTGTTTCCTCAATAAAATTGGAAAACGTGAATTTAAATATCATGTCATTGGGCATCTGCATACTTATTTAAAAGAAAATATATATTCTGATTCTACATACAAGTACTTCGAAATTTGTATTTAAAAGACCTGAGTTTCTAATTGACAATATACATGTAATCTTTGGAGACCAGGTCTTCCAACAATCTGTCGAATTTTTACGCCATTATTAGCAGACCTGTTTTTGTATTTTTATGAAGCAGAATTTATTCAATATCTTCTAAATGAAAAGAAGAAGTCACTTGTTGTGGCTTTCAATACGACATTTGGATATCGACGACATTTTATTAGTAAAAAAAAAATCTTTCGTCTTAAATTTATTCTATATATCTCATTGAACAAGAAACGAAAGACATAACAGAGTCTGACACATCTGTTTCATATTTGGATATCTATAAGAAAAAAATCATTGTAGGCAAACTAAGAACTAAACTTTATGATAAATGTGATGACTTTAATTTTCTATCGTCAACATCCCTTTTATATAGCAATATATCATTATCATCTGCAATTGGAGTATATGTCTCCCAGATGATTCAACACAAAAGTACATGTTCTACATACGATCAAGGCCGACATCCGTCAAATTTGTGAAAATCTTAAAACTTTATTCCTAAGTTTCCTGCAAATACACTAAGGTGCAGAGCCCGAAAAAATAACTGAAGCTACCATAAACATGGTCGTTATGTATTTTCTTCCTCTAAATACTGGAAATAGAGAGGAAATTAGAAAATCATTTGGATCCTAGCTTCAAGTTAATACAAATACATGTATATGAACATTTCTATGTTTATTTAACTTTGAATATTTTATTTAAAAAATATTTCATTTGCAGTGATGAAGCAATGTTAATTTAGATTAAAGATAATAAATGTGAAGAATAATGTTGTGTTTCCCTTTCCTTGCAGGATTTTTCATCTTCCCAGCAATTTGCACACTTTAAACTCAAATTGCCTATCCCTGTTAACATGAAAAATGAACAATGAGTAATAAACAAAAGAACAACCAATACTTGAATGATACAACGATATATTAGAAATCAATGAAAAGAATTAAAAGCTGTTACTTATAGATTATACGAAAATTAAAAATTGTATTGTATATTATCATTTATTTGTTTAAGTTTTATATATGTATATGCTTAAAGTATATATATATATATATATATATATATATATATATATATATATATATATATATATATATATATATATATATATATATATATATATATATATATATATATATATATATAAATGTATGTATGTATGTATGTATGTATGTATTTATCTTGTGTTTGATGCTTTTACAATACAAGATTTTTAAGAATTGAGAAATACACTGTTTTAGTTAATATGAATGAGTTAAGTATATTATGAAACAGTATATGAAATTGGTATTCTGTATTTATTCCCGTTTCATCTATACAAAACTTCTTTTTGATAACCTGTCAATTTAACTTTTTTTTGATAACCTGTCAGTTTGATTTTTTTGATAACCTGTCAGTTTGACTTTTTTTAATAACCTGTCAGTTTGACTTTTCTACGAGAATACTTACTCAGGACCATTATTATGATGGCTACTGACACCAGTGATGACATACCCCTTGGGAGCGTATGTAAATGCCTCGTCATATCTGTTCACTAACCCTGACCACGAACACTCACCAAAATAGTATTCTAAAGTAAAACAAAAAAGAACAAATATAATACAAAAATGAAACTATATTCATCTTTTACTTTTCACTTCTTCCTTTGCTTTCAGATGGCATCCTAATAATTGAATTTCCGAGCTGGTTCTCTACATGTTTCATCAACATTCGCAGGAATTCAGTCTCAGCAAACCTGTTTTCTACCATTTAACATGGTGTACAAAAGATTAATGTTTTCAAGTCTGGGATTGTACTTGTCGATAAAAAAAGGGATTTATTCTCGTCAAGAGCCCCCCCCCCCCAAAGTTAATATTGAGGTGACTCAGAGCTTAAAACAAGTAAGGAATATCTTGCCTTTACACCATATCAGTTTGTAACAGATAGACAGGTGGAACCGATATGATTTAAACGTTTTCAGAAGGCATTTGCATTTTATTTCTTTTTTCTTTTTTTTTTTTTCCTACTGAAAAATATTTACTTTTATAAAATCTCTGAATATGATGTTAACTTGACGGATTATATCAAAATACATATGCGTGAGTTCCATTTTTATGTCCCGTCCTGAGTCCAAACCAATTTACCAAAAACATATCCCTTTCAACAGAAGCTTTTGTTCTTAAATTTCATTAAGCAAAATTACAATACAATCAGTTTGTTTCCTATACTTTTACCTTTCTGTTTGATAAGCGATAATTCTTCGTCATATTTCTTTAACAATAGGCGGAGTTCCTTGTTTTCCCCTTTTAGGACCGATAACTCCTCATCATATTTGTTGCATTTATGCCTAAGAAAAGCTACTTCTTCATCCCTAATCCTTGCTTCCCGGTGAAAATCTTTCAGAGTCGCATCGATAATGTACAAAGATCCAAAGATGAATGCAATAATTACTCCTGTAAAACATTGCTTGCGTGTTGTTTCCAAAATTATTTCATCCATTTCAAGAATATAATTTTACAGTCAAACTGGGATTTCCCTTTTCAATGTGTCTTGATTGTTAAATGTCATTTAACTTGCAAGGTGTTCAATCGATAAAACCATGAATGAGGTATTTAAAGTCTTTTATTCAAATTACAGATCATACGACAGTATGAAAAGCATACCAGGTTCATAACAATTTGAATATGAATATTAGCTAATTCTTTTATTTAAACGCATTAAGAGCCCATACAGAACACAAAATGGGACTAGTAATTATTTTTCAACTTTCCATCAGGAATACTTTTTAATCCTCTACACTATTTTTGAGCAACATTTTTTGGTCAGCATGTACTCTGTTAATGATATCAATTAGCATGTATTTGAAAATGTGTTGTCCTGCTGGAGAGAAGATGGTGGAGGTTTTTTTTCGGAAAAAAGCGCTGCATGTATTGTGTAGTCTGAATTTTGCACTTATTGGCCCAAGTTTGCTCTTAAACTTCACTGGACTTAGAATCCAAAGACTATAATAAGCTATAATATAATTGCATTAAAGTGTGGATTCATACATGTAAAATTTATGGAAATTCATATTTCTAATTTCAAAGTGTTCTACTCCACATTAAATTGTTTTAAATTTATTAATATTCAAAACCATCGCGTTTTCAGGTAAAACATTTAAAGAATAAAAAATTGAATCCCTGAAGTGCATGCATTGTTACCATGCAAAATGTTATAAACTGAGATACATTTAATTACGTTTTGCCTCAACGCAACAAAACGTATATAAAATTCCAGGTTCATATAGGGCGTTTTCCTGTAGAATGGCCTGAGATTTTTCATAAAAATCCTACTATTCAATAATGTGAAATATGAAGATAACTTAAGCAGTAATTTTGCTCATACACGTACAAGATAGTCCATTGTACAATAGAAATCAGAAGCAGAACAAGCTCGAACCTCTACATACATCAGAGATGGAATCAGGTGCCATGGAGGAGTAATCATCCCCTGTCTACCGGTCACACCCGCTAAGTGCTCCTTGTCATTATCGGGCAAATGGAAAAATCCATAAACAGTTCATTGTGAAAACATAGGCCTAACACTTTGTATGAAAAAAAGTCAGTCAATATTTGAATTGATATTAGATTGCTGACAAGGTCATTGTATCGACAATAGTATTTGCAAAATGCTGACTTTAAACGAGACTGCTTTGTTTTAAAAATTGTTCGTACATAGAGCATGATCTTGCGTATCGAATCAGTTGGGAGACATAAACTCCATATGCAGGTCATAATGGTATATTAATTGCTACACGTACGTATATAAAGGAAGTTGAGGTTATCACGTTTATTATAAAGTTCTGTTGTTAGGTTACCATTAACATTTTTTCTAGTAAAATATCCAAACATGAAACAAATATGCCCGACTCTGTGGTATCTTTTATTTCGAGTTCAAAGGGATATATCGAATCAACGTAGGAATGTAAATAAATATTGTTAATTGAAAAAAAAACTTTGTCGATATATCTAAATGTTGAATTTAGAGCCACAGCATGAGGCTTCTTTTCATGTAGAGGTTTTTGATTAAATTATGCTTCATATGATTACAGAAATAGGTCTACTAATAACAGGGCGCAATTAGTACCCATGGAAATTCCAACAGATTGTTGGAACTCCAAAACCTGCATAGATATTGTCAATCAGAAACTCAAGCATATTTTTAAAATCTCCTTCGGGGTACTTATGTGTACAATCAGAATGTTTTTCACAAAATAATTTTGCAAATGACCAATGACAAGGTAAATAAATTTACAAGTTTCTTTTTTACTGAAAAAGCAGCTGTGTATGATGTCAAAAAGCGTGGACCTTACTTTACCGATTGGTTGTATAAAGTGTTGAAAGGTCGTACGATTTGATGGTATTGAATTTCGTAAGAATATGTGATTTCAAATTTTCTAAAAGGTCCTAGGAGTTTTTTAAGTATCCACATCTAGATTAACATCACTTTTCAAATATACTTTTGTACAGCATGTAAAGTATTCCTGAAGTTTCTCCTTCGCTGTTGTTCTATTTCTTTTAGTGGTGAAGGAAAAAATACTTAGTTATAAAATTCACAGGCAATAATGTCCCCGTAATAAAAGTTTGCCCACATTGTATATCATACTGTAGTGTTTAACTTATTACTGGAACAAGTGTATGTGTCATTATTATCTATTTGCACATTTTTCTGAGAGACTTCATGAACGCTTTTCTGAATGTTAAATCAAAGTACCCATAGATGATAGGATTGACAATATGGTTAATAATAGATGATCGCCTCATTAACATAACAACATTTAAAGTCACTACATCCATGGAATACCAGAAGTGGAATGGATCGTCCGTTGCCAAAAGTATAGTTACAAGTGTTGGGAAGTAGGATAAAATATAAAATACAATGATAGTAATAAACATGTAAGTGAAGTTATTTCTGACGTTTTTATTCCTTTTCTTCCGTGTGCTTGATTTCTTTTTTCTAGTTGTAATAACATCCGACTTTTTACCCGAGCTTTGGCTAGAATTTCCAGCATCTGCCAAAGGACCTCGAAATGCTTGCTTCCTTATTTCATTATCAAGGCCAGCTTCAGTCTTTGAATATTCGTTTCCTTTGTTTTCAGATCTCATTACTTCCATTTCCACTTCTGATTCTAAGTTTCCTAGTGATTTTTTATCTTTCTTCCCAAATGACACCTCTTCGGTGTTACATGTAGACTCAGTTTTGTTCAATGGACCTATGCTAGTCACTTCAGTGAATTTCGCAGATATGTCGGTTGAAATCCCTAGGTCATCAGTTGAATCTATTTTTACTTCGCTGGTTACATCGTTTACCTGGTAGGTAAATTTTTTATCAGTTCTTCCTTTAAATCGGCGGAAAATTTGAAGGCCAATTGGAATATACAATGCTCCAGTGATTCCCACATTGGAAAAGAGGACAAATATTTCAAAGAAAATATAAACCATTTTTAAAATGTGTGTTGTTCCTTCAAACTCCCTTAATTCGCACATCTTCACGGTTATATTATTTTGCAAACAATTTACATCCTGATACCGATATCCAGCAAAGTAACCAACGGGAAGTGTATTAATAATTGAAAATATCAGGCAACAACCTACGGCGCACTTTTTGGCGAAAATTGACATCTGTTTTCCATTTGGACGACAAATCTTCAGATATCTGCTGATTGAAATCATCAAAAGGATAAAAGCTGACCATGAGGTTGTCACCCAAGAAATATAATGAAGAAATTGGCATAAGACTTCATGTGAAAAATTAATGTAATTGAAGTTAATAGTAATACCCAGGAAAGCTAAACACACACAGGAAAGTAGATCCGCCACGGCTAAATGTGGTATGAAGAACCGTTCCTCTGTTTGAGGCATCTTGTATTTGTAAAGGTATAAAACTTGAACGTTTCCCAGTAATCCCAAGCACAGAAAAATTACAATAATGGAAGTGTTAAATGACAGTGCACGTGAAAAATAAGAATTGCATTCCACAACGGCATTAGCAACGGAAAAATTCATGATTTATCCAATCACGGACCGTTAGGGTTAACAATGTAGTTTTACGCCCCTGCTGCAGTAGTCTAGATGAACACTTCCATGTAAAATGCACCGGGTACGCCCTTTTGAAGGAAGTTAAATATTAAGCTCTAAAATGTCTATATATTGTATTGTTAAATCGATAGATTTAAAAGATAGATACAAGGAAGCTTTAAGAGTGTTATATAAGTAAGTTTTTTTGACACGTAATAAAATATATTTCGGGAAAAAGGCAAAATTTATTTCCTAGAAAGACCTCATAAAAGTTTTAACAGGATGTTTTATCCTTGCAAGTACAATTGCAATAAAAAAGGAAAACAAACTTGATTGATACTCGCTCAAAAACCTTCCTAACAACATTTTTTACCTTGACTTTTGACCTTGATCTTTGATCCACTTTTGCAAATTTTTCAAGACTTTAATCTTAGCCATAAATACCCTTATTAAATCTATAGTGCTAAGGCTTTTATTCTTCAAATGCATCTCGTGTGACAAGATCTTTCCTTGGATACATTTTTCACATCTTGATCTTGGGAGTTTGAATAACTCTTGAAAGTCTTTAACCTTAGCAATAACATTTGAATGGTTGGTACTAGGGCTTTCATACTTCAAAAGTGTATTCTCTGTGACAAGACCTTTCCTTAGATGCCAATTTGTTACTTCATGACCTAGGAGTTCACCTACTTTTGACAAACTTTAACCTTGGTCATAACTTTCGAATTGCTGGTGTTAAAGGCTTTCATACTTCGTATGTGTATTCCTTTTTACAAGACTTCCCTTTAAATACATGTACCAACATTTTTGACCTCTTGACCTTGAAGTTCTACATGCATTTGAGAAATTTTAACCTTGACCATAGCTGTCATACTGGGGCATCAGTGTTTTTCAAACACATTTTGTATTCTTATAATTAACTTTTCATGCGTCTTATTCATACACATTCTCTCTTAGATATTAATGTAGACTATAAATGAAAGCATTTCATTTCTGGCCCTTTTTTATAATATTTAACAAATTCATTATATACGTATAAAACAGACACTTCCCAACTCTAGACATACTAAAAATTCACTTATTTTCATCAGGATAATTTTTTGTTGTTTTCATGGTGTTTAAATATCTACGAGATATATAAATTTATTTCCCCTATAAAAGGTTAAAACCACAAAGTTTTGTATTTATTTTTTTTTTTACCTCAACCATGAAATCATCCATGAAAAAATATTTTTCCTTACACCCGGACATTTTACCCCCAAAAAATAAGACTAGTGCTTTTTCAGCATTTGGAAGATTAGTACTGATAATTAATTCATAGTTGGAAAAAAAAACTTTCGTCAGATTCATTGAACATGTGACACTGAAGATGTCAAGAAAGACAAAAAATAGATTTTTCAGGAGGGTCAACAGATCTTTCGCTAGCAATTGCCATGGTCTCATTTTCAGAAATAAAAATTGTGAAATATTGTGTATATAGCCATACCCTTAAAAAACTGAAAAAACAAACACTTTGTAAAAAATCTCTCTTGCGCCATCTACTTGATATATTACGTAATTTATAAATATGTCAAGAAGTGGGAAAGTTATCCAAATACTTAGAAGGAATTCCAAATAAAAAAATGTTACTACTGTAACATTCAAATGCAATTCAGAAATCATACAAACTTTTTTTTCAAAGCTATACATCTTTAATACATGTACCATAATGATTATTCATTATCAATGCAAAAGAACCTCTAAATGAATAAAAGCCGCTAAGTCTTATGCAATTCTAATCAATTTAGTTCAAAATATTAAAACACATAGTGCAGTGTACAATTTCTTTATTTTACACATACATGTCTAACAAAATATAAAAAAACTAGGTTCTGATGACGACCGTCTCTGGTCGAAACCGGTCAACTAAATAAATTCACTTATTCATTCTCACGAAGTGTTGGAGATCTGTTTGTTCCGTTAAGTTTACCACTTTTGATCCAGACCCTATTGAATACCACGTGGTATCCACTCGTGAGAATCTTCTGTAATTTCAACCTTAAGGTGTTGTTTTCCAGTCTAATTTTGTTTTGAAAATATAAAAAATAACATAAACAATATTGCACAAACTTAATAGTTGGATATTGCACCAAAACACTTGCACTGGACATGGTTTGAACATGCATTTCCTAGAATAGCATTTGTGCATGTCTTCACAAATTTCATATTTTTTGCATCATTTTAGCGATTGGGAGACATGACTAAAACCGAGTTACAACTGCATCACATATCAGGTTTCTAGAATTTATTTGATTGCTACTTTACAACCTTGTTCAGAAATGCAGAATTAAGGCATATATTTCCTTATTAATCGCTTGCATCCATTTCCTCTGGTCAATGAAACTTGTTAAGGTACTTGTTGTAAAACTGTATCTCCTTTTTGTTTGGTTCCCCTGCACCATGGGTACCAACTAAAACAAAATGGTTGTAAATATCCTGGTCTTGCTTGTTAACAGGCGGGGGCTCTACTCCATAGCTACTGCCCAGTTTAAACACGCTCTTAGGGAACCTAAAATAGTGAGTAATACATAGTTTATAATTTAATTACTTTTTACTTGTCATTTTCTAAAAGTGAGAAATAAATGATTAATTAACACAAAAATACAATTCGTCATGTAAACTTATCTCTTTGATATACTCGCACTAAGTTCTCTATAATACTGCCTGTTGTCACTTCTTTCTCTACGACATACTCACACTGTGAAATATTCACACTAAGTTCTCTATAACACTGCCTGTTGTCACTCCTATTTCTATGACATACTCACACTAAGTTCTCTATAATACTGCCTGTTGTCACTCCTTTCTCTACGACATACTCACACAAAGTTCTTTATAATACTGCCTGTTGTCACTCTTTTCTCTATCACATACTCACACTAAGTTCTCTATAACACTGCCTGTTGTCATCCCTTTCTCTACGACACATTCACACTAAGTTCTCTATAATACTGCCTGTTGTCACTCTTTTCTCTATCATATATTCACACTAAGTTCTCTATAACACTGCCTGTTGTCACTCCTATTTCTATGACATACTCACTCTAAGTTCTCTATAATACTGCCTGTTGTCACTCCTTTCTCTCCGACATACTCACACAAAGTTTTCTATAACACTGCCTGTTGTCATCCCTTTCTCTACGACATATTCACACTAAGTTCTCTATAATACTGCCTGTTGTCACTCTTTTCTCTATCACATACTCACACTAAGTTCTCTATAACACTGCCTGTTGTCATCCCTTTCTCTACGACATATTCACACTAAGTTCTCTATAATACTGCCTGTTGTCACTCTTTTCTCTATCATATATTCACACTAAGTTCTCTATAATACTGCCTGTTGTCACTCCTTTCTCTGTGACATACTCACACTAAGTTCTCTATAATACTGCCTGTTGTTACACCTTTCTATATGACATACTCACACTAAGTTCTCTATAATACTGCCTGTTGTCACTCCTTTCTCCTCTTTCTTTGGTGGAGTCTGGCAAACTTCACTGATCTTCACATATCTACACACATAAAAATAAAATCTCTTCAATCAGTTAACTCCAAATATCAATATACTGCTTACTAAGGCTTCCTTCTATGATTTAAGTCTACCATCACTTGTCCCACTTTAAGGTTATAGTTTTCATCAACCTATAAGAATTCAATAAGGTAATCTAATCATACTAATTGATAGTGCAAGGAAAAAGTAAAATTTATAAGAAAACCTTACAGATATTATGTATTTATATTTATACATTATACTGCTGCAGGTTATAAAAAAATCAACATGAAGCAGGTTAAGTCTACTAGTCTCATATTTAGTATTTGAACTTCAATATCTTAAACTTGGCATGGGTGACAAAAATTATATAAAATTAGATATTCCAAAGTTTTGAGATGTGATATGTACATTTCAAGTATAATATTTGAGTGAACATTTGTATATACCATATCCATTGCATTTTCATATTAAGATGTATATGTGGGTATATACTTATTCACTAGTTGTTCAATCACTACATTTCATACTGCCTTTTGTGTCTCTGTGATTGGGTGTATACTGCATTCAATCGTTTCATACATGTACACCTATGTGTCTTTGTGATTGGGTATGTACTACTTCAAATCATTACACCTGTTTGTCTCTGTTATTGATTGTGTACCATTTCAAGTCATTATCGTTCATACATCCACACATGGACTTCATGTGACAGGGTGTCTACTATTTCCAATCATTACCTTTCATACATCCATGTGTCTCTGTCATTGAGTAAGCAGTAAGCACTACATCCAAATTGATCCAATCATTACCTTTCATACACACATGTGTCTCTGTCATTGGGTATGCACTACATCCAATCATTACCTTTCATACATACATGTATCTATGTCATTGGTATGCACTACATCCAATCATTACCTTTTATACAACTGTGTCTTTGTGATCGGGTATATACTATATCCAATCATTACCTTTCATACATCCATGTATCTTTGTGATTAGGTGTATACTTGTGAAGGTCTTGTCCATAATCCTGAGATTTTGAAGGAAAACTTCGCCCTGAAATCTTGATACTTTGGAATCCCTATCAAAGAAAAATAAAAATGACACCTTTTACTTTTAATAGCCTTTTTCATAAATTAAAATTTATCAATCTAAATGAGCTTCCATTTAGATTGATATTTTATCCAGTCCCAGCAGTTTATGAACTTTAAGGATTAAGTACCTTTCAATGTCTCTTTGTATTTAAAAAAAAAAGTATCTTGAATCCCTCATTCTAAGTCAAATTCTAATCCTAGCTACCACCACCATAAATAAACTAAATATGGGGGAAAAAATTCTAAAAAATGAGGAACTTTTCCTTCTGTAATTAGGGAGGAGATTTGTAAATGTTTACAAAAATTCAGAAGCACTTAGTGACTGATGACACTACATACCAGGTATGTACATAGCCAATTCAAGTTACTAATGTGAACCTGCACTTGTACTTTTTCCTTAATATCCATTTTTCCTTTGTATCAGCACATCTCATGAGGGCATGACATGATCATATTTCTGAGTCCTGTCTCATTTACTGATCAAGCTGGGTCCTATATTACCTCTTTATACCTTATACTTGATCTCACTATCTGAGCCTAGCTTTGTTACACCCTGCCTTTCAAATGATCCCATTACACCTTTAATTTGAGCTCTCAATTCCTACATAAATAATGGTTATCTCATTATAACTTAAACTTGATCCCCAAATTTGGGCCCCTGCATTGTAACATAGTGCCTTTTACCTTTCACATGATTTCATTACACCTTTTATTTGATCTCAAAAGTCCTAATTTATCTGATTTTACCTTAAACTTGATCCCACTCGATGAGTCTTGCATTGTCTTATTCTTCCTTTCACACTGAATTGTCGACGGATTTTTCCGTTATTTCCTGATCATGACAAGGAGCACACGGCGGGTGTGACCGGTTGGCAGGGGATGCTCACCCCTCCATGGCACCTGATCCCACCTCTGATGTCTTAGAGGTCTGTGTTTGGTCTGCTCCTTTTTTGTAATGTTTAATGGACATTTGAGCTCGAATACTGTTCGTTATCTCCATATATTTCATGACATTACTCTTGAGTCCTGTGTTGTCTCTGGCTCACATAATACATGTACCTTTAAACTGATCTTGCGGAGACAAAAACTATCTCATTATACCTTAAACTTGATCTCGCTTTCTGAGTCCACTGAAGTCTCTGTCACGCTCGTTCCATCAACATCCGAGCTCTCGCTATCACTCTCACTGGATCCTGTAGATAACTGAGATGATGTCGAGTCCTTCCCCGAGATGTTTGGATTTAATTCTTGGCTGTAAAATTCAAATTTATCATCTTCATCTTGTGTCAGTTTTTTTGTTGTTGTTATTGATGACATATCAATTCAAACATCAAAATGTATCATGGCTAATCTATGGTTTTTTAAAGGATAAAATATATTTCATTCTGACAGCCACATTTTAAATGAAAGCATAAAGAAAACTATAAATGTGTTTTAATTCTATTACAGAGAAAATGAGATTTATTTTTTTATTGTTTTTTTTTTCTTGGTTAGTTGGTTGTTTGTTTGCATTGTTTTATTGCTTGTGTGTAAGGATTTTTGGTGGAACAGACAAGTGTGCCAATTTTTCTACAATAGATAAATGATAAGCATGTACATGTAACGATGCCAATATAAAATTAATATCATATTGTTGGTGTATCATCACACTACGGGGTGCATACGACAACAATGTAGTTAGTAAGTGCATAGGGTTATAAACATGGATTATTGCATCTATACAAGTAGGGCCAAGATTGACAGCTTATTACTGTAGATTTTAAAAAAAAAGAAGAGGAAATTGGCTGTTTGTTAGTAGTTCGTGATCTCTGATTAATTCACAGCATTCCACGCAAGCATTATTCTACTGCTAAAAATTATATCAATCTTTTTCAAAAATTTTTTTTGAAAAATGCATGTAATGAGGATTTCAGATGTCATGACACTGTACAAAAAAATTGACAGGTTTTAAAATCTTGATTATGAATTCATACTTGTATAGTGTTTCGGAATCCATTTATTTATATAGTAAAACATGCTTATAGCGAAAATGTTTAAAATGAATTGACACTTTCAGCAAAATGAATTTCATTCCTTGGACTTAAAAATATATTTGACACTTAACGGATATAATGAATTACACTTATAATGGAGCAAAATTGTCCGTCCCTGGCACTTCGTTATAAGCGTGTTTTACTGTATACATGTACCTCATATTTGATAAAATCAAAATTAAAAATAAATTTCGTTTCAACAATATATACTTAGCACATGTTCATATATTTTATAATGCTTTTATAGTTTCATCAATTGAAAATACAAATAAAGCATTCTCTATTCCGGAGAAGCTCTTTTAGTTTAAAGCTAAGCTGGTACATGTAGGCTATGCATTGTATAAATGATGATGGATTTCCTTGTAATTTGTAATTGTGCATTAGAGGGCTATAGCCCCTACCTTTCTGTCATGAAGAGCATAGTTCGACTATTAACTCGATGATACATGACCGAGTCTGATCTATAAATAATTTATTGAGAAATAAAAATAAACTTTTTTAAAGTACTGACAGACGATTTGATAAAAAGAATACCATATTGGTATAGGTACATGCTTAATACAGTCCCTAGAGAAATTTTTTTATTTAAAAAACATCCAAATGAATAAATGGTTACATGTACAATGTAAACTGGGTATATGTGTTGCATCAATACATGCCATGTATGAAATTAGCTGTTTTCAGACTTGTGTTCTGTTAATGACACTTCAGTTTAAACCAGTAATGCACATAAATATTAAATGTGAAAAAAAAAATATTACATTACACACATGTAACACTGAAAAAATAAAGTAAAAATTGGGTGATTGGTTCCTTTTTTAAAATGAAAACAAGGGCAAGGAAAAGTGGAGCATACCCTTCCATTAAGATTTCATTTTCAGAGAACTTCTCTCACGAAGAACACTGATTTCTGCCCTTGACCTTTGATTTTTGGCCCTTGACCTTTGATTTTTGGCCCTGGAATCCAATTGGAAACATGCATCTCAGTAGGAAGTACATTAGGTTAAAAAAATCTTATAATGCACTTTTAATTGTGTCCAAAGCTTATAGATTACATCTATCACTTCTGATTACTTAACCCTCAAGTTAGAAAGTTCCTATGCCTACCATACATTTCTGTCTGAAGGTAGACAATGAAAAGTGATACTCTTTTAAAATCATGTCCACAACTTCACTGATACCAATCACAGTTCTTGACCTTTGACTCTTTAAATGCATACACCTGGTGAGAGCTCACAGTAACTCGACAATGACCTTTGGATCATTTGACCCTAAAAAGAATATGTTCCTTCTCTTGACACTATAACCACCCCTGTAGCAAGCATGGTTGACAAAGGTGAAGATACGAACTGTGATCAACCTCAGAAATATAGTTAACAATATGAAACCTGAACAGTGCAGAAAAATGAACCTCTGGAAACACCAGAGATGTTCATTGAGTCATGAATATGGTCCAATGATACTTAATATACTGCATCAACATCATTAACTATATGTAAATAAATAAGAAAATACCCTTACTTTGACCCTGACCTTTGACCCTCAAATAAATATGCTTGCACCCTGGTCAATTAGCACCTCTATAGTAGGGTCAAATTAGTACTATATAATTGGGCCTACAATATTGTTTGGTATGCATAGAACATACATTGTAGCACAGACCCTGAAACATGCTATTACCTCTTTAAACCAGGTGATGTTTGTGTGCTTTTGTTTCATGCAGAACTTTTAATGTCTCAAATTTCCCATGCAGCATTTTGTGCAAGACCCATTGTGTTTCATGCAAATAGTACAGTGAACATGAGAGAATCAAAAGGGAAACATGTAAGTTTCAGGCAGAGACATCACACTGAGAAACATGTCTGTTTCATGCAAAAATGGGTCACAAAAAATGTGTAGACTACAATTAAATTCAAGACCTTTAAATAAACAGACTACAGACAAAATAGGCCTATTACTCATATGCATAACTAGATAATATTTTTATAGTTTCAAATAGAATAGTGTTTTTTTTATAATCATGCAGCATCTTGCACAAAGTGTTCTGTGTAGTCCTTGTGCAGGGTTTCATGCAAGTTGTAATTTAGTATTGTCATAATTTGTATATTAATAAAGTATTTAATTTAAACCATGCAGTGTTTCATGCAATATGCAAAGTATGAAGCATGCATGCAGCATGACTTGGGTAGCAGCACGATTCAGGGACAAAAAAATCCTGATATTTGTTGCTAGGTGGCAAAAAAGAAAGAATTCCAAAGAAAAAAACAAAAAAATTGGGCTCTAAACAAGTTCATAAGGGGGAGATAACCTGCTGATATCCTTTGTTTCTGAAGGAACTCGTAAAATAAAGGGGCTGTCATGCTTGGCTGCTTTAGGCTTGTAGTCCCTGAAATAAAGACATTTATTAATTATAAAAAAATAAATTACATCAAACATACAGTATATATCATGCCAAGTGTTCAGTAGTTTTTAAACTGTGATTAGAAAATGATGACTGATTGATTGTATGTTGTTTTACGTCCAATTCGGGAATATTTCACTCATATATAGATGTCACCATAGCACAAATCTTGGGGATAAAATTTCGTTGATTAGTCTTCTTAAAAGGTTTCATTGGCATTAAATTTTGTTGTTTCAAAAGTAATTCTATTCAATATAATTATACATGTTTATGTCATACAAAAATTTTCTGTGGGATTTAATAACGTTGGTAATTGTTAACAACGAAATAGCTGCAGAACTGTAGCTCTCCGAAAAAAAAATTGACAGACCGGAGAGCTACAGTGCCATCCACAGAAAAAACTGTTTATTTATTGAGCACAAAAAAGTGCGCTGTTTCTCAATTTATTTCTCCGTATTTTTAATCTGCAATCTCAAAATATTACTGACCGTGTGTTCCTAACACATTTTTGCACTATTCCCACATCAGAACATTTCCTATAACCATTGTTAATAGCCCTCCTGGGCCTGAAATTAAGATCATCCAAAATTTCGCCTGTTAATACTGCCATTTTGGATGGCTAGACAATTCGGCCAAACGCGCTTCGTAAAGATGTCAACTACAAGAGTAGTTGATAGAGGTCTAAGGAATTTTTTTGAAATTGAGTTTTTGCACAGTTGAGGTAAGAATTTAGAGAAATAAATCCAGAACCAAGTGCAACTTTTTATGCGCAATAAATATACAGTTTTTTCTATGGGTGGCACTGTAGCTCTCCGGTCTGTTAATTTTTTTTTTCAGAGAGCTACAGTTCTGCAGCTAACAACGAAATAAACGAAATTTATTCCCCAAAGAATATTTCTGCTTTTACAGTATTGCATTTATAAACACACTTTATAATAATTATTCATGATTTCATTACTTAAACCAGAATGTATCCAGTAATAAACAGTATTCTACCTGACAGAGTGTGACATGGTATAAGGGAAGAGTTCATGGATGGAGGTAAATTCACTGGTCCTGTAGTAGTCATAGTAATGATCCAAACACTCCTCACCAGGTGCCATGGCAACAATGGTGCAGTCATTTGGCTTCTTCTCTGAAATTAACAGAGTTTGTGAGAGCTTTGTACAGAAAAAAATTTATTTCAAGTATAAACTATTTATTTGAAGTAATGCTGCATTGATTCTACGATATCAGTAAGCAAAAACATACATGTATATTCACATTTACTAACAAGATGAAAGAATATTCATTTAGAAATAGATTTCAAAATGGAAATACGAAAATGTATCTACACCTTTAAACAAATTTCTGCATAAACCTACCTTCTTCATAAGGCAAAGGTAAAGATCTGTACACAGGGACCTCCCACCACTGGGTGAAACTAAAAAAGTTTTTAAAAAATTATTGGCAATATTGTGCCATATTTGTACCATCTCACATCTTACCAGGATTTAAATGGAGTGTTCTGATTCTGCATCATGCTTCATGGCAAAAAGTTTTTCACCAAGGAATCTGATAGTTTTCAAAGTATATTTAATTATCTTTCACTTTTTTTTAATGCTGGCACATGTATACTGAATTAACAATATATCAAAGATTTTATATAATTATTATCTTAATTAAAAAAAACATCCTCCCAGTTTATACTTAACAAAAGCAATGAAACAGTTATTGTACTGATATTTTGTCTATCAACATCCATGAGTTACCTATTAACTGATACACTGCACTCAAGTAAAATTAAGACTTTAGGAGTTAATTGATGAGACACTAATTAGTTTCAGACTGGCAGTAATATGTACCTATAGCATAAATAATCTAGTACAGCCCTGACATCTTTGTTGTGGAGGTAAAAATCAGTGGGAAGCTCCCAGATGTTTGGTTTCCCCTCCTCTGGTGCGTACAGGCCCAGGAATATGTTGGTAGCTGTCTGCTTCTCCAGGTCTGTAGGTCAAATATTAAATAATTAAACTTTTAATTCACAAACTTAAAAGTTAATCTATTCCAAGCAATAATGAAAACAGCCAACAGTGCCAGAACTGGGATGTCCATGTATTTGTTTGGACTGGACAGTAGTATGAAGTTAACTTTATGTGAACTTTGGCCTTGAAAATCAAATACCAGTAGGATGTCTTTACTGTTCATTAATTTGAGCTAAGGTTTAAAGAGTGGATATAGAAATGCCAGGAGGAACAAAAATAATCTGTCATAAATAGTATACAGTTTAACATTATCCTCTTAAGTTTTTATGTATTATCATGATTATAGGGTAAGAATATTTTGTATATGATTTAAAATCAATACTTGATGAGCATGATGAATTATTGCATATTTCTGAAGGACAGAGGTTGTTAAAACTAAAGACAAAGTCTGTGTTTTATACAAGTAAAACTAAATTGTTCATATTAGTGCATTCATATGTAATGATATAGAATTTTCTTGTGATGTAATAGGGATGATTATTGTATTATAGTTTCATCATCTTTACTCTTAATTACATTGTGCTTTCAAAGCACATTTTTCACCTGAGAAGGTATTGCTGTAATATCTAGACAGGGTATGCATAATGTCCTTGGAGTGGGAGGTCCAGGGGGCTATTTTCCTGTAGCCCTCAATTCTGTGTACCAGTTGAGATCCTCCATATTGCAGAGCAATAGTGTCTCCATGAGCCTCGTACAGGTGTTCTAGCATTCTACAATTTTAAGAGCAGGAACTGAACAAAACAATGTCTTTATTTAAAACAAGTACATGTACTAGAAAATGTGAATTACATGCTGCAATGCACCTGTTTGGTTATACACCTGCAGAATATATAAAACCAAACTATGTCAAATGTACAGCTTTACGTATTGAATAATTCTGTAAACCAACTTTTATTTGGAACATCTTTTAATTGCAATTGTTTTTTTCAGATTGTAATACCTCCAAGATTATAAATTTTTAGAACAATGAACATCTACTACATTAATAAACAGTTAAATACATGTAAATAGTGCATGCATATAAATTTTTACATTCAAGTAAAAGTGTGTCATGAAACTCAGTCACTGTGACACATATATTTCCTTCATGCAAATAAAAGTTGGTTTACGGAATGCTGTTGATTTCATTCATGAAAAGAGCCCTCATAATGATGCATTAATCAGTGATGCAGATAATAGGACTTGTACATGAATTTTACAATGGCAAAGTCTGATACTGAATCAATATATCTTTAAATTACAAACAACATTTGAACATCATTTTCTACTTTGCAACGATGCAATAAAATTCATCAGTGTGGGGTCAACCAAACTATGAAGTAATGCTTATATTACAAATGTCATTGCTCCACTTTTCTAAGACAATGTATTTAATCTTCAAGTAATTTAAAAATTACTTTGCCTGTATGATGCTAAGTACCAGTTTTACAAATTAAGATTTTTAACAAAACTTGTTCTGTTCAGTGTAAAACTTCTTGACTAGTATGTGATAAGCTGCACAAGCTAAAATTTGGAGAAATGCTACAGCTATTATCTATACTATTGCTACTTCATGAGGAAAATTCTTGAAAAAGGAAAAATTCCCCCGCCCCTAAAAAAAATTGTTGCATTATGGTACATGTACATGTTTGGCTGATGCACAATGGCATTTACACATTGTAATGAGTTCCATATTTACCATTTTCCTGGCACAATGCACGACTGAGACAAAACACATAATATAACAAATAAAATCTGTCAAGCAAACAAATATTGACAATTCTACATTTCAAACCATCTAATCAAAGCCCAAATGCTTTTTTCTGCCTTGAAAACCACATCTAAATTGTTGATAAATGACCAACATGCATTTCAAAATAATCTGTCACAAGCTTTCCTTTGAGTTCTAGCACAACCTAAAATAGACTTACACATCTATACAATTGTGAGAAGAACCTCTACAACATAAGATTACAATATTTCTGGTTAATTTTCATTTTAAATTGCATTGATATGTAGGTACTCGAATATAAATTATTACAAAAAAAGAAATGCCACATGAATTTATACAGGATAGTTTTTTTACAATTGACATCAAATATACAAGTAGACAGAAAATAATATACTGTACGTCATAAAATGTAGGCATTATTGAATGATATCAATTATTTATATGTACATGACAGTGGAACCACAGAATTACAATGTCAAAATAGGGCTTCACAGGAGATTATTAAAAACCTTTACAGGCTTTTCAAAAACATTTGTTTCTTACTTGAGGCAGTCTGTATCAAACTCCAGGTCTGGGCTGGAGATTACACCAAGAGTAAACAACTGAAAAACAATGAAGCAGTCTAACTATAAAGTACTAAAGTATACGACATTTACATGTAGGTAGTTCATGTATTTCTATAATGTTATTATTAAGTTCTGGATAATAACAGTCATCAGTTGAATAATATCAGGGGCACAATATTTATAAAGAAATCACTCTCTTGTTATATTCAAATGGTCTTCTGCATTTTCTATTGACTATAGACTGTACCTCCAAAAACTAAATAGATATGTGTCAAATCAGCTCTACATACAAATGTTTTGACTTACAGCTCCTCCCTATAGCAAACTGTGCTGTGTTGGTTCTGTCTCCCTTGCCTAATAGCCCAGGGCAGTGAGCCTGAGTGAGGGCACACCTCCCAATAGCAAACTGTTCTGTGCTGGTTCTTCACTCCTTATCTGGTACCCCATGACGCATCACATCTTCCTAAAGCAAACTGTGCTGTGTTGGTTCAAACCCCCTTACCTGGTACCCCAGGACACATCACATCTTCCTAAAGCAAAATGTGCTGTTGGTTCAAACCCCCTTACCTGGTACCCAAGGACACATCACACCTTCCTAAAGCAAACTGTGCTGTGTTGGTTTTATCTACCTTACATGTACCTGATTGTACCTCCTGTACCTGGTACCCCAGCTCCCTATAGCAAACTGTGCATGCAGTGTTGGATCTGTCTCCCTTCCCTGGTACCCCATGGCACATCTCCCTTTAGCAAACTGCAGTGTTAGATTTGCTCCCTTACCTGGTACCCCAGTGCACACCTCCCTTTAGCAAACTGTGCCGTGTTAGTTTTGCCTCCCTTACCTGGTAGCCAAGGGCACACCTCCCTATTGCAAACTGTGCAGTGTTAGTTCTATCCAGACAGTCTACACAGTTTGTGCGGACCACTCCAGTCTGTCGACACCCCCAGGTTGTCTTCTGTCCCTGCAATCCTCTGAACCTACAGCAAATGTACACTGTCATTAGACCCTTTGAAATTTTAATTACTTGATAAAGTTGATTTTAATTACTTGGGGGCTAAATCACTGATATGATTGTAAAGTTGATTTTATTACTTGAGGGCTACCTCAATAACTGTTCTGAAATTTTAAGGTTGATATTTATTACTTGAAGGCAACCTAGCCTTAGTACCGAGATTTTAAGGTTGATTTTTTTAACTTGAGGGCTACCTCACCGATATTTTAAGGTTGATTTATATAACTTGAGGGCAACCTCACTAACTGAAATGTCAAGTTGATTTAATTATTACTTTCTCAATCACTGAAATTTTAAGGTAACGTGTTATTTTTCACTTACTTGAGGGCTTTACCTCAGTAACTGTTCTGAATTTTTGACTTACTCTTCTGTTTTCCAGAAGTCCTCACTGACTGGTTTTGGCATGTGTACAAAGAACCCTGTCATTCTGACACACTTCCTGGCAATCTGAGACAATCGCACCAAGACATTTGTTGTTTTACTGAAGAGTTAAACAAAACACAATATTATTATGTGTATTTTTAGCTCACCTTAGCTGAAAGCTCAAGTGAGCTTTTCTGATCACCTGTTGTCCGTCTGTCTGTCTGTCTGTCCGTCCATCTGTAAACTTTTCTTATTTTCAACTTCTGCTCAAGAACCACTGAGCCAATTTTAACCAAAGTTGGTACAGAGCATCCTTGGGTGAAGGGGAGTTTAAATTGTTAAAATGAAGGGCCAACCCCCCCTTACAAGGGGAGATAATCAAGAAAAGACAAAAATTGGGTGGGGTCATTAAAAAATCTTCTTCTCAAGAACCACAGGGCCAGAAAAGTTGAAACTTATGTGGATGCATCCTTGGGTAGTATAGATTCTAAATTGTTCAAATCATGGCCCCCAGTGGTAGGGCGGGGCCACAATAGGGAATCAAAGTTTTACATTGAAATATATAGGCAAAATTTTTGAAAATCTTCTTCTCAAGAACCACTGGGCCAGAAAAGCTGAAGCTTATGTGGAAGCATCCTTGGGTAGTATAGATTCTAAATTGTTCAAATCATAGCCCCTGGGGGTAGGGCGGGGCCACAATAGGGAATCAAAGTTTTACATTGAAATATATAGGCAAAATCTTTGAAAATCTTCTTCTCAAGAACCACTGGGCCAGAAAAGCTGAAACTTACGTGGAAGCATCCTTGGGTAGTGTAGATTCTAAATTCTTCAATTCATGGCCCCCGGGGGTAGGGCAGGGCCGCAATAAATATTACAAAGGGGAGGCCTTGTGAAGAACAGCAGGGCCAAAGTAACTCAGGTGAGCGTTGTGGCCCATGGGCCTCTTGTTTTTAGGGGGGGGGGGGGATGCATAAGACAGTCTTTTCAAAGTTCATATATCAGATAATTTAAAAGTGTTCTTGAAGTACTGCTAACTGTCAAAACAAATTTTTCATAACATTAACAAAGTACAACATTTTTTTTCTTTTTCAAGACATTTGTACAATGTACATGTATCTGCTGAAGATCAAAAAAGCAATTATGTAATCTGCAAATAAAGAAAAGTTATATGTTGCAAATAGTGCAAATTCATTACCTGCATTAGAGTTTACAATGAAAAAAGGAAACTTTAAAAAAAACTTCTTTGTCACACTTTATTCATAAAAATTTAAAATTCCTACATTTGCACCACTAAAACAATCACTTTTAAACATACATGTAAAGTAAATCATTTCAATTAAAGCCCAAAATTACAAATTGGGCTTACATGTAGATACATGTACTGTACAATACATTTATCTATTATTGCTCAGACAACAATTAAAATATGCAAAGGAAAAGTTAAGTTCCTCATCTCAAAACATTCAAACAAATGTAAAATTTGTTTATACATTTTCAATGCTCATAAAAGAATCCTTATATAGGTAACTCATCTCATGTGGGCCATACCATGCACAATATATTGGATCTGTAACTCTTCTCTTACTTATATAATGTGGGCCATACCATGCACAATATATTGGATCTGTAACTCTTCTCTTACTTATATAATGTGGGCCATACCATGCACAATATATTGGATCTGTAACTCTTCTCTTACTTATATAATGTGGGCCATACCATGCACAATATATTGGATCTGTAACTCTTCTCTTACTTATATAATGTGGGCCATACCATGCACAATATATTGGATCTGTAACTCTTCTCTTATTTATATAATGTGGGCCATACCATGCACAATATATTGGATCTGTAACTCATCTCTTACTTACATAATGTGGGCCATACCAAAACCCCATATATTGGATCTGTTACTAATATAATGTGGGCCATACCATGCACAATATATTGGATCTGTAACTCTTCTCTTACTTACATAATGTGGGCCATACCAAAACCCCATATATTGGATCTGTTACTAATATAATGTGGGCCATACCATGCACAATATATTGGATCTGTAACTCATCTCTTACTTACATAATGTGGGCCATACCAAAACCCCATATATTGGATCTGTAACTAATTTAATGTGGGCCATACCAAACCCCATATATTGGATCTGTAACTACATGTAATATAATGTGGGCCATACCAAATCCCATTTATCGGATCTGTAAATCTTCTCTTACTTATATAATGTGGGCCATACCAAACCCCATATATTGGATCTGTAACTCATCTCTTTGTAAATGTGTGCCATATCACAGAACAAAGAATGGATCTGTAACTCACCTATTATAATGTGGCCCATATCAAACCCCATTTCAAACAATTTGGAAGAGAATCAAGGAATTTTTTTATTATGCCCTAATGTAAGATATATCAAACTCCACATATTGTAACTCACCTCTTACTAATGTGGGCCATATCAAATCCTATATAGCGGATCTTGTGTTCTGGGGGTAGGAACTGGTTAAGATAGTTAATGGTAGATTTATATTCCCCTGTTAGTATACTCTCATGTTTTCTTCTCTCTCTTCTCTACAAACACAAAACATCCATTATTTCTTGAATTCCATGTACCAAGTCACAAAAACGATAGAAACATTTTGTTCCAGTGAGTATTTTAACATGAAGGTCTTCAGACACTTACACATGTTATATAACTGATATAGCATTCTTAAATCTCTTATAGACTTAAGTAAATATCTTTATATTTACGATGAATTCATGCACACAGATACTCAGTTTAGCCTTGAGCACAGCATGAAGATAGAGATTAGAAATAAATGAAAGAGTTATGCAAAACTCTGTATTAATCCCCTTTTCACAACTTCACTTAATTTACAGTATTGTGTACCTTAACAAGGTTGAGTATGATGATTGGAGAGCCGTATCTACTAAGCGTCTGATTAAAGTGGTGGCCTGCAGCTCCAGCATATGGGTCACTCTGGTCCACTACAATACATGTACAATGAACACATGAAAATAACAGCTGAATATCTGTTTCTTCAACATCAATATGACAAATACCTAGGACACTTCAAAGTAAGCCAGTGGATCTTATTGACCCTATCATGATTATAAGACTCAATTTTGATATTCTCTCACTTTTTCCCAATCCTGCCTATTTGAGATATAGAAAAATGACTGAACTATACCTGGAATATTCAAGTGCTACATTTGTCAACAATGATGCATACTGAAACTATTGACAAAATGTAGATGAATAAAAGTTTGATCAGATATAAATAGATGTACACATACAAGTAATGGGGGGTTTGGGGACCATCTTCGTGACATCCTGTGACCAGTAAAGGGGGATGGAGCCCCTCATCTGTACAAATGAGGTCACACCTGTCTTCTCCAGAAAGGTCACTGAGCTGTCAATCACAATCTGTTCTGACTCCACCTCATTTGCCACATAACCCTGGAAAGAAGGGATGAATCACAGATATGTAACAAGTGCAGCTAAATAAATGCTTTTTTCAAAGCAAAAATTGAATTTCACCTTTAAAAAAAGAGGACCGGTGTATTCATATTCTGACATACTATCATGCAATTATAGAGATCCCAAACATCTCTCTTATATACTTTGAATATCTGGAAGTGAGACTGAAATCCCAACAAATTTTTCTTAATGTATTTTAATTGTATCTTGAATCCTTGGATATTTTGAAGTTTTTTTTTTACTTGACCCCAATTCAAGATAATGAGGTTTGACTGTACATTGATCAACTTACTTCATTATTAGCTCCCCTTTTCAAAAACCTGGTCCCGGCAAATTTATTTGACCTCCTAGCAATCAGTGTTAGGTATACAGATTTTCCAAAGACATTTATATCTGAGAACCAAGTTAAGAAAAAAATAATTATACATAAGACTAAAATTGTTATTTTTCTAAAAGTGCCCAGAAATTCAGGTGCATAATATCATGTACATGTGTATAATGTACATTTTATTGAACTTATTTTCTTCTGATTTTAGTCTATAATGTAAATTTAGCATGCCTGGCAGCTGAGCCTTTTGAATACTATGTACGCAGTAGCTAACATACATCTTTTCACAGTATATTCCCTTTAATTTATGATATATTTTAGTCTGTAACTTTAAAATGTACATTCTTGATACATGTATATGAAGTAGAATAATTTGTACATGTACATTTTTTTTTCTTCCAGCATATGTTTTATAACTTAACCAATGATAATGTTCTGAAAGGATACTCTTTTGATCCACAAATCCATGGATCAAAAACAGGAGCCAATCCGGATGTACGACCTCCCTACATTTCTTTAGGAGGTAGGAATTCCAGACATATTTTTCTGCTGGTTTTGACCTCACTCCAAACACAGTTGGTGGTGGTGCTATAACAAAATGATTAAAACAAAAATGTTTGCCACAGAATATACATGTATTTAGCTTGTTGAATCTTACCAAAATTGAAAACATGCAGTTATTAAAAAAAATAACTGGAGTTAATTTTTTCATTATGACCTAAACTGCTTACATGGCCCATGTTGAAGTAAGTCTGGTGGTAGTGTAGATGTCATGTTGTATTGAAGACGATGTGTCAGATCATAACTATAACTAATGACAAAATTATCATGATATTAAAAATAATTGTCAAAGTTTTTTGACTTGATGGGATATATCTATATAAATATACATGTATAAACGTACAGTAGAACATGCAATTATTTGTAAAAACAGCATTAATGTATAAATAACCATGCACTCCAATTTAAACCATTATAATTATGTATTTCTTCTGACAATATTCAAACACCATGCATTAAGAATCAACAAGATACAATTATATTTCGCATACTGTACCTGAAGTAAAAGTTGTCTGACATGTCTACACTTTGAAACATTTTCACATACCTGAAAAATATGTCATAATTTAAAATATTCTATTTCAGCTGATGCAGACAAATTGATTAATCACTTCATTTCAGTATTACGGTAAATTAAGAAAATAGTCTGTTTCATTTTATGAACTGAAGACTATCAGTGAGACTAGCAACACTCTAAGTATATGCAGTTCCTGGTAAATATACTTATTTTCTGTCAGGACAGTCATAAGAGCTTCTTAGGATAAGACTTAACAGAGGTTTTTAACAGTTTTCTTCAGGATTCTTGTGACTTCATATCATATTAGAGAGGTTGAGATTTCATACGTGTAGGGGCGGAACAGCTAAAGTCGGACAACATCGAATGTCGGACACTCTTCTTTTTCAGAATAAAATCATTACTATATTTAGTGTCGTTTGTATTTTTCTTAAGTATCTCTGTTTACAGGGTGTTATATTGGTTGTTTCATTCAAATGTAAGTCATGAAAATGTTTGAAATAACCTCTAAAATTCGTCGGGTACATACGTATCTCACGGATCCGGATAAAAACTCGCATGCGCAACACATAGTGATCCTTGGCGAAATCTTCAGTTTGCTGTCTGTATTCTGTGATTGCTAATATATTTTGTAATTAAAGCATACTTTTACATGATAAATATTAACTATTCCCTTAATAATAATAATTTGGTGGATATTTATTTATAAAAACCATTAAAATTAAACTGTCCGACTTTACATTCTGGGTCATTTAAAGTCGGACAGAGGAGAATTTAAAGTCGGACAACACACAATACATTGTTTTTTAATTGTCAATTTTCTTAAAAACTAGAACAATTTATTAACATTTCGAAAAAAAATTTAAAAATACGGTATGGGATGGGATTTGAACCCGGAACCTTATTATGTAATATAATTTACCGGTAATTTAAGAGTATTTTCGCTTTTGCAAATCAAATTCTGCATGCTGATTCTCTGCAACTTTTAGGAAGGAAGAAATAAAAAAGATACATCTACCTAAAGAAATTTTCATTTCAGAAAAACAATGAAAAACACCTATAAAACCAAAAAACATCTCGAAGAATTTTAACACAGAAATGAGAAATATTGGAACTGAGGAAAATAAAAGAAGAAAAGGCCGCGAAAAAGTCTAAAAAAAAAAAAAAAAAAAAAAAAAAAAAAATCAACACAAATATTTTTTTTCACGGCTTTATTTTAGTTTCATGTTTATAACTCGGCACTCAGTTTCATTGTTTATTTTTTAAAAAAAAAGAACTTTCCTTGTTGAAAAATAAAATTAGTTCCATAGATTACTGATTCCACTTTAAAGATTGAGGGATATATAGTTTTCTCCTTTCCGGCTATCTGTCTTATAATAATTATATAAATGGGTTTAATTTTGGAAACAATTTAAACCTTAAAATTTATTCACACGATAACGCATTGGTTTATAGATCGCAAGATACTATATGTTCATTTAAATTTCTTGGTCTAAATGGAAAGTTTATCTAAATAATCCATACAATGACTACTAAGTTTATTACGTAATAATCACTTAAATGTTCACGAAGTTTGCCCAGGCACGTAGTATCGTATTTGAAAGTGGGGGGAGGGGGCAGCCAAATAAAAAAAAATCAACTTACCTGAAGAAAAAAAATGACGAGCAAAAAAAAAAAAAAAAAAAAGGAGGGGGGGGGTATATATAATTGTCCAAATTCAAAAATCCTATTTCGGGGGTTAGTGGGAGGGTTCCAACTTCTTTCAAACCCAAATTTTATTCATACATTACCAGATTACCCTGATTTGACTATACTGCAACAAAAAAAGGTGGTGGTGGGGCAACCAGCCTTTCATTGAAAATTTTCAATAGTGAAAAGTAATGCTTGGGAAAAAAGTGAGCCCCCCCCCCCCCCCACTACGTGTCCTACTCTCTAACTATGATCTAGCCTAAAAAAATGAAGAAAATTGGACTTTAAATGTCGAAACCAGTATGTGTCCGACTTAAAATTCTACATGTCCGACTTTCACTGTCGATGTCCGACTTTATCAGCCCTTGCCTTCCCGTGTTTGGTTTTGATTTATAACATTACAAAGCTTTTAACCAATGAAAATTAAGAATAGAAAGAGGGTAAAAACATCATTTTATGTGATGTAAAAGTTTCCGGTTATATGTGAAGAGTTTGGAGCGTTTACCAAAGGTGCAGACGAGGGGGTCCGAAAAACCGTCCGACTTTCGCTGCCTCTCCCCTACGTGTACGTGTACGTCTAGTAGGGGAATTCCCTAAATTCCTCGTGTATTACGTCATCAGTTTTAGTGATGACAAGTTCTCTACCAGTTCCCGCAACTTGTAGGGTGGCGTCTACACGTAAGTACAAACTTGTAGCTTTTATAATAAAAATTAGTCTATTCATGTATGAAAATTTGGTTGTTGTACTTTATTTAGGATGTTTAGTTTTATAAGTACGTATTTTAAAGAGGTTTTATTTACTTACTGAAGTCAAATTGATGTCACAAATGTTGAAACAGGGTCACCGATCACCGTTTATTAAAAATGAAAACACGTTTAGCTTCTGTATTCTTAAAATAACACAAAAATTAGTTTTGTGAATTTTGTTTCATTATATGTATCTATTCTACTATTAGATTTAATCATCTCCGTCTTTTTTAAGTACTAGTAGTCAAGAGGTATTGAAGGGGGGGGGGGGTATTATGGTGATTCATTCCCCATAGCAAAATATCCCCGCAAGACATTACGAAGTAAACTTTCCCTAGGATGATTTTTACGTGTAGTATTTATACCTAAAAATTAACCTTCCAGTGAACTATGATTGATCTTGATTTTTAAAAAGACTTCAAAAACAAAAACTCAATGGGGGGGGGGGGTACATTACCGGAAGATGGTCCATATATGTCAGAGAGAAAGTTGACATGCTTAAACTTTTACAAAGACATTTTCAAGTTCAATCTGTAAATGTACTTTTAGTATAAATAATTAACACGATATTTTTTTTTTCAGACCATCATATTGCGTTATATGTACCATGGAGTCGGGGAGGAAAAAACAGTTTAGATTTTCGGAGCAAGATGACATTAAACTTTTGAGGTAAGAATTACATGTTAAAAACAAATAAGTGAGTTTCTAACAAGGATATGTTTTACAGTATTTCTCGAATTTTCATCATAAAGATATACTCTTCCCTCAAGTTTCAGTGGTCTGTTATACTAAAGAACTTACGACTAAGTCCAAAATTTATTTCTGCTTATTACGTTCTATTTTACATTAATTTGAAAAAAATTGTTTTAAACTTTTAAAAAGAATTTATAAAGATATTTTTTCTAGCAATTTCAAGCAGAATTATTAATTTTGCAAAATTTTAAAACGGGTCCCTGGTCTTTAAAAAAATGTAATTTCTTTTTCAACATTAAAATTTTAAAAATTTTGGTTAAGTAAATCATTTATTTGTTGTTTTTGTTGTTGATAGAGAGGTCATCAGCAGGAATCCCTTCAAAGATAGAGCAAAATGGGCAGAGATTTCTTCAGTTCTTCCCCTGAATATTGACGCAAGGAGGGTTCGGGAAAGGACTGTCCTTCTCATAGAACAAAGGAAGAAGTTCAACAGTTGTTCTCTCAAAAAGTATGCAGACTATGCAAATTATCTTAATCAAAAATTTACATTGCTGTTATGTAATAAGATAATCATTTCATACCTGTAATGAACCCGACTTGATAAATCATACGTATCTAAGCAAACTGTTCCTTAGTAGAATTTGAATTCATTCACTTTTTTTATTTTCATTCAGACTTTTATTTTAAATCATAATCTTATCACATTTTTGTCAATATTTTAATTACATGTAGATCTGGTGTAGATGAAACGTATGGAGAAAAAGAAATTCTTTTGGACGAAATAATCGAGTTAGCAAACGAAGAAGAAGAGAAAAAACGGAAAGATAAATCAAAGGCTGTTAAAGAGGAGACCCTGTGCAAAGATCTTAGAAAACGTGCACTAGAGAACCTGACACCATCCAAAAGTGGTGTGTATTATTTAATTTCTTTATTATATAACATATTTCAATTCTGTGTTTAAAGTGGCATATAGGCCCGATGGGCCGGATGTTGATTGTTCTTTTATACAGTTTGTAAACAAATTATTATATATGCACACATGTCAATGTAAATAAATAAATTACTTATTCAGAGAGAGAGAGAGAGAAACTATGTAGGTAAAAATCACAGGCACTTGTTTCTGTAATAAATTTTTTAACCCATAGTATGATAATAACACAAGGTATCCAACTCCGAATTACACGGAGTACCCCCCTCCCTCAGAATCGCACTCATTTACAATTTCAGAGGACATGCACTGGCAAACTGTTTATACCTATGTCTTCTACGATAATTTATCTACACAACCATATATGACATGCTTGTCTTTATTTTCTTTAGTCTCCGTAAACAGCGTCAAAACTCTGCTCGCCGTGTGGAAAAGTCGAATTCAACCATGAAATGGTATGTGCTAATCCCGCACAGAGATTTTGATTGGCTAAAAATCTGTTTCTAAAATTACATCGGATAAACATCGTAATGTTTTCAGGGAAAATCAGACGTAAACAAGTTCTATTTACCCATGCAATATTTAAACACTGGAATTGAATTTTTAAACCCACTCATTTTTAAATTTTCTTCTCTGTGTAATTCGGAGTTGGATACCTTGTGTTATTATCATACTATGGGTTAAAAAATTTATTACAGAAACAAGTGCCTGTGATTTTTACCTACATAAAACAAGTGCCTGTGGTAAAAATCTATCAGGTTCTTTTAGATTCTATCTATCTATTAGATTCTTAGGAGGGGGGTTAAATTTATTTCTGTTCAAGAATTCACAAAACAGAATACATTGCATATCTATTTTATAGGATGAAAAGAGATATTTTTTCTTCCTTTGTGAAAATATTGACAAGTAAAAACGTGAAATTGTGAAATTGGGGTCTACGTAATGCATTCGAGGTTTGTTTTTTCCGCTTTTCGGAAAGGCCCGAGAAGTTGCGACTACACCGTGCGTATGAAAGTAGCTGACGTAGATCAAAAAGGAATTTCAGACTATTAATCAGATAAATCTCTGCAAAAGTTGCTATTTGCATGGTCCTGTTCTACATTATTCCTTCAGTTTCAAATCTAAGGATAAATTTAGGATTTAATATGAAAATTCCTTTACTGATTTAACATTGAAGTTGTGTGTTTACTATTCTTAAGTTTAATTTTTTTTTTTGACATCTAGAACCAAGTCAATTATTTTGTTCTGATTTTTACTTAGACGAGGACCAGCGAAATAGCGGTAAATTGCCTAGAAAAAGTTCAAGTGTGATATCATTCTTGAAAGAAAAAACAGAAACTGAAAAACAATCCCGAGATGAGGAATTGTCACTTCGTCGAGAGCAGCTAAATTTGGAAAAGGAGAGATTCGAGCTGGAAAAAAAGGAAAGGCTCCAAAGACTGGAGGCTGAAAAGCAGCAGACGAAAATGATGTTAGAACTTTTTTCAAAATGTTTAAATAAATAAATGGAATATATTATAGCATATTAGCTAGCCATGTAATAAGATACAATGTAAATGCGAAAACATTCCTTGGTGTTTTTAAAATATTCAAGAAATCAATTAAAAGCATGACAATGAAAGAATTTTATTTATTTCAATATACCTAAAGTGTTTAAACTCAATTAAGCTTTTCTACAGGCTACTTTAAAAGTTACTAGAAAAACTCAACACAGATTTTTGTCATGAGACCAGGTTAAAATTTACCATGTAACGGTTTGTGAAATATACAGCGATATCAATAACATACACCCGTACTTCATGACATGTATTCTTCAAGTGTAGGAGGTGGAAGATTAAAGTACTCGCTCGTAACACTACCATACAAACAGGTGTGGCAATTAGTGAGTAATGACGCTACCAGATAATACTTAGCCACAGGTTGTAAAAATAGTTTCTGATTTTTCTTATAGTCAACGAAAGCGAACAGAGAGAGGATTTTTCCAAATGTCCACTCAACGCTGGAACGGAGCTTTGACATTCTACAGTTAAATATTCTTTCCTGGTTGCTGAGAACAGCTCCTTTGAAAGGTGTAATAAGGTGCACACGCAAAGGATAAGCAAGGTCGCCGTAAAGAGAGAATACTGTACCATCGTTCATTGTCATGCGTTGTTCAAGTTTCGGCATTAGTTCACTCATTCTTAGCATGGCAGAATCATGGCGCTTTGCCTCTATAGGGCCATACATATTTGCAATTAAACCATTTGGTATCACTACAGACTGAAATTTTAAGCCATGTACCCTTTTGTGTCCACTATAGACAAGGTTTTGGTTCGCGGAAGGTCTACATATCGGCCTTACTGTTCCATCTATGAAACCCCAGCAATTTGGAAGTGGTCCACCTATGTCTGATATGGCATCAGCGTACATTCGAAGGTGTTCTTCGTCCAACCAACTTTGATTTAGGTCACAAAATTTACCCGAATGTCTGTGGTACAAATAATCCAATACAGTGTTTGAAATGTATGAAAGCTCTGACTTCGAACGGTTGAACAATGGTTTCATGTCATCTAGTCTGTTAGGATAAGACAAGCGCCTAAGCAGTATCAAGACACCCTCTGTCGTAGATACCCGAGTACCATTTGGGCATACGAATTTGGATGGAAGGGACAATGCCTCGCATAGGCGAGAAATATCATTCTTCTGAAATCGAAAGAATGAATAAAACTCTTCCTCAGATAAATTGTCTAGATTTAGTTGTTGACTTTTTACATCGTCTTCTGTAACTGTCGACATAAGCAACACATCATCGTCTTCACATAAACAAGCAATTTCCAAAGCATCTGCCATTATTTACGGAAACGTCATAAACGAAAATGACGTCATTTCTGAAGACATTGAAAATAAAGTGCGCGAAATTCTTGTACACGTTCTTGTTACACGTCATTAAAATCTCAACAGACAAATTACAAAAACGTGTACGTGTACGTCTAATTATCTGTACACGTACACGTACGCGTACAAGTTTAAAATCTCAACCTCTCTATTATGTCCATTGACAAACCTGCATCAAGTGTCTGAAGTGTCATGTTTACTCTTGTATCATATGAAATGTTAAGTGACACACCTGTATCAAGGGATGTGTCTCGTGTCACCTGTATCATATGAAGTATTATGTGATGCACCTATGCCATGCAAGGTGTCAAGTATACACTTACATTATGTGAAGCATTGAGAGACATAGACTTGTATCATGAAGGTGTCAAATATGACACAAATATCTCATATGACACACCTGTATCATGTGAAGTGTTCATAGACACACCTGTATCTGACATGTGAAGTGTTCATAATAGACACACCTGTATCATGTGAAGTGTTTACAGACACACCTGTATCATGTGAGGTGTTTAGAGACACACCTGTATCATGTGAAGTGTTTACAGACATACCTATATCATGTGAAGTGTTTACAGACACACCTGTATCATGTGAAGTGTTTACAGACACACCTGTATCATATGAAGTGTTTACAGACACACCTGTATCATGTGAAGTGTTTACAGACACACCTGTATCATGTGAAGTGTTTACAGACACACCTGTATCATGTGAAGTGTTTACAGACACACCTGTATGACGTGAAGTGTTTACAAACACACCTGTATTATGTGAAGTGTTTACAGACACACCTGTATCATGTGAGTGTTTACAGACACACCTGTATCATATGAAGTGTTTACAGACACACCTGTATCATGTGAAGTGTTCATAGACATACCTGTATCATGTGAAGTGTTTACAGACACACCTGTATCATGTGAAGTGTTTACAAACACACCTGTATCATGTGAAGTGTTTACAGACACACCTGTGTCAGGTGAAGTGTTTACAGACACACCTGTATCATGTGAAGTGTTTACAGACACACCTGTATCATGAGGTGTCAAGAGGCACACCTGTGTCATGTGAGATGTCAAGTATCACAGTTGTATCATATGAAGTGTCAGATGAGATAATTTATATGACTTACTTGCTTTCTTCATGATGAGCTTTTCGCACTGTGTCATTAGGTATGTACATCATGGTGGTGTCCTCTATCTTGTAGACAACATGGGGTCCAATCAGGGCTACCTTACGTCTCTTTGTTATCAAAATGATATAATATCCCTCCAGGAACCTCACAAACCCTGTAATACAAATTCACTTAACAATGTTTTTTTTTTCTCATTTAGTTTATCATACTGCATGGAATATAATATTTCAGTACAATCACGTGCACAAGTATTGAAACAATAGATAATCATAGTTGTGATTTCAAATAAAATGCCTTTGTGAAACTCCTACAACAGAAACTTGCTATTTGATATTTATAGACTACAATACCTGCTATACCAAATGCTGACACTGTTTTTATAAGAGCGGAGTCCGTCTTCTTACTCTCTATAGTTGTGTTACCAGATTTAATCATTGTCAGGAGGTTTCTGACTTCCAGTTTATTGTATTCCACCTGATAAAGACAAATACAGTAGAACTTCAGTACTGAGTATCTAGAACACTGATATCTCATATACTATGGATATGTGAATTGGATGTCCCAACCACTTATTCTTTTAAGTATTTAACCCTCAATATCTTGAATACTAGGATATCTCGAAGTTTTATCTCGGTCCCATTGAGTTTGAGATACTGTAACGAAGTTTGACGGTATGTACAAAAAAGACCCAAAATGTACAAATCAACATTTTACTATAATTCAGCTTGTCAAATGTCAAATAGGAGCTATTTTTCTAGAACTACTACCTAGAAATAAATGACTAGAGTGTAAACATTTTTATAAGAAATAACCACAATATATGAGGCCAAAAAAATAATAGTCTTGTTTCCTGCTACCCAACCGACCCTATTTTTTGCACCCGACCCTAAAGCTTTTTTTTATTTTTGGAAAAAAAAATTGGGAATTTCAGGAATTCCATGTTCCAAAACTGAAAAAAATATATATTCAAGTGGTATTTCATGAAATTCTATATTTCAAACATGGACTTTCATAAAATAGCTCTTGAGTTGTGCATCAAAAGACATGAAATTTAGGGATGGGAATCGGTAAGAATTTCATAATCGATGATCAGGTTACTCTATGTAACTAATTATTGATTATAATGGGACATTTACGAAGTCTATCAATTGAGTTAATTAAATGGTAAGAATGGGCAAATGACTACTTTTTGCATGTGTATTTGTTGTTTATTTTGCTGAATAAGAATAAATGGATATCATCTGAGTGTTTTATTGAGTGTGTATATGTTTTTCTTTTTTCTTCATACAATGTACAGATATAAAACGTACATCTATACCCGGGAACTAGCTTTGTTACCCAGGTATGTATACAATTCTGTTTGTCTGGCCATTACAATACCCAAATAAGTTAATAGATAAGTTGCAGCTGGAATATCCGGCTTAAAAACAATTACGCTTGTTAAAAGAAATAAAAAACCAATTAATAAGAGTAAAAATTTTGTAATCGAGCGCTTGAATTATGCCAGCATTCGACTGATTTTCCATTATAATCGATGATTGGAACACCACTAATGAAATTTAATTTTATTATATAAATACTGCATGCAGTTGAGTGTAACATTGAAAATTTTCACCCCAAGAAAACCACTGTCAACCGAGGCGCAGCCGAGGTTGACAATGGTTTTCGAGGGGTGAAAATTTTTCAATGTTAAACTCAACTACATGCAGTATTTACCATATTATACTGAATGTTTTATACAATACATATTTCAGTGAACCTTGCATGCTTTAATTCTGCGCAGTCAATATTTTTTGGAATAACACCCGTCATCAAGCAATGTTGACTGTTGCTACGCTGGAGGGCGTGGCTTCATTACTCAGCAGGTGATAGTGTTTTTTAACAAATGTTTCTCGACGAATCAGATTCAACAAATGTACATGAAAGTATAATATAAGATAATATTGACCTATGACATGTTTAATTTGGTTGTGTATTAGTTCATATCCAAAAATACCGTTGGAAAAAAAAAATAATAAAATAATTTTCCTATCTACCTACCCTATTTTTTTCAGGCTGGTAGCAGGAAACAAGACTATTATTTTTTTGGCCTAAAGTTTTTTGTTCTGCATGGTAATGGGTGATAGTGAGTATATATAGATGAGACAATCTAACTTAACCACATTATGTACTTTACTGAATTGTAAACTGTACAGTTCGTATGCCTTATCGGTGGTTTAATAGTTTTCTTCAAGCCATCCAGATCACCTTATCATCATGAATGACTAATTCCTTTGGTTCTGTTCTATCAATCTTCAAAACACGGAACCTGCTCTCCGTGGAGTTAGACCCAACAATGTAAAACCTCTGAAACAAAGATTGCAGCATCTATACCACATAATGCAAGAAGGAATTATGTTAAATCCATGTTTAAAAGATCGAAGCACATGATGACACGAACAATGAAAAAATTCTAACCTCAAAATTTTCTGACAAGCATATTGATAATGAATAATGGTAATCAATGTTTTCAATTTATTTATACTGTTGATTCATGATCATACTTAGGTTGTCTCTTTAGAAAAAAAAATAATAATTAACTACAAACAAATGACACAATACTTATTCTTATACAAATGATGTAGATTCCTAGGGATTCATTAACCAGAGTACATACATGTATGTTTGCACATGTAAATATGCAGGCCCAGCACAATCTCTTGATTTAGCTACATGTATATAGCTTGAAATAGCTACAAAGCTTCATTAAGTTATTCAAAATAGATTGATTTAGCTATTTTGTCATACTTTTTTTCTTAAAAGAGCATTTTTACAGCTTGTTAACAAAGTCACACTTTGAAGCAGTGGTAGGTTTTTAAACTTTTAAGTCATGTTGTATTGTTCAGAAAACTGTACATGAAAAAATTGTTCATCAATCCTTGTCTCATCAATAGACTTTGTACGCGAAGTTCTAAAAGTTTTGGGGCTATATATATAAGTATATACACTGTAAAGCTATTGACTTGTGACCAGACTGTTACTTCTTGAGTGAAATTGTAAAGCTGGTCAATTCTGGTCAATATGATAATTTGTTGGTAATAATTCCACACAATTTGAAGTAATCATACTTATCCATGCCTCACCACACACAAGGTAGTGTATATGCAGTTACCAAAACACTGGAAATACAATGTACATCTTTTGCTGAAAAGTGTTCAAAAGCATCAATGATTAAATTATCTTTTATTTGGAATGCCTTTTTTAACATGTTTATAATAGTCCAGAGTACAAAATAATATGCATAGGCACATACTTGTGACTTTCTGTTTATTTCTTACAAAAATCATATTTGTAAAAAAAAAAAAAAAAAAAAAAAAAAAATTCAGATAGCTTTATTAAGCTATTTTAAATAGCTTAATAAAGCTTTATAGCTATTTCAAGAGATTGTACTGTACCTGATATGTACAGTACATGCACGTATCCTATAACATGTTATTGATGAGTCAGGCATGTAATGATCAGGTGATGTCAAGTGTTGTGAACATTTAATTTCCTTCCGTAACATCGATAAATATTTATGACCAATGTACTTACTGCTTTGGTTTCATAAAGAATAACTTTCTGAATGCACGAAATAATAGGATATTCCATGATTTCCTTCTTTTAATTTTCACTCCTACTTCTCTGTTTTGGGTGGTCGATTTATTAGAATACTGAACCCGACTAGAATATTAATAAAATTGTTATCGTTGTCGTTGTACGTTGAGATCTCTTGCAAGTATACATGATATATATGTGCAACTTTTTATCGATATTTGGCGAGTTTCACTTAAGGAAATTAAAAAAATATATATGTAATTGTAATTGAACTTTTTACTACTAAACTTGAAGAAAATTATACATTTACATGTAACATACATGTGTATAACTAGAGCCACATTACACGTAACATGTAGTTTTTAAGAATATTTTTGCTTGTTTTTTTTTTTTTTTTTTTGGTTGTTTGTTTATATTTTTCTTATCGACATTTACACTGAGAGATATAGAGACTCAGCTCTGAAGTATCATTCGCTATATCGAAGTATCTAAAAGACATGTATGCAAAAGATTTAAAAAAAAATACTATGCATGTTTAATATTGTTATTATGATGACAAAACAATATGTTCAATATGAAACACTTAACTAAAAATTATAATGATGATTAATATTACCCCCAAAACGTATTTATAGTTTTAATTAATATAATAAAATCACCCTGGGCAACCATTGTTACATGCATATTTACTCTAAATTTATAAAATAAAGAACAAAAGATCGTGTTACATGTACATCCCTTGTGCGTGGTATTGCATGGGTTAGTCTTAGCAGAAAAATGGAAAGGTTTAATCGGCAAAATCCAAGATAATGTTTTGAAAATGTTTCTATAAACTTTTTTTTTAATTGACATGAACAATAGACAGAGTCACTCATATAAAGGTGGAATAATTCTTTGTGGAAAAAAGAATATCCGAACTGGTCACAAAATGGCAGTTTGAATATAATTATGCGTTCAACAAAACTAGATAAGAAACATTGAGACTATATTGTTCTTTACCATCTTCCGTCTGGATGGGAGTCGATCATCTTTTAAAATATTTTTTACCGTATGTTTTAAGGAAAAAATATCTCAATTTCTTTCAGTAACTTTGTTAGTCGCAAGGGCATACACTTTTTAATGGATCTTGACTATATATTTTTATATATATATATCTATAGATAGATAAATTAAATAATATTCTTCGACGTAAAAAGTGCTAAGTACTGCTTTCGTGAAATCACGAGAGTTATATTTAATAAAAACATAAAACAAATGGTAAAGGTCAAGCATATTTCAACTTGAGCCACATTAGTTGAAATTTTAAGCAATAAAAATGCTAAATTCTGTATTTATTTCAAATTTTAAAGCAGCAGCACTTTCCAGAAACTTCAAGATATGTAGAAAAGGTTTATCTATTATTTTTTACTTTGCCCTAGGGTAATGCCCTTGCGATATTGAAATGTGTTTGTGACCTATAGGCCTACGGGTTACAGATTTATGCAGTGAGTAGTGCTGTGACGAAATCAAATTTATTTCAGGTTGAGGTGCACTACGTAAATTCATATAATTAAACTTAATACAGGGTGTCCCAAAATATATGATACCATTTGAAATACCTGCCACAAACACATCCCTTGGCCAATTTCTTTGATATATGTCTCTAAAAATATTTGAATAAGTACAATTTTTTAGCAACAAAATATTACAAAAAAAAATCATACACTTATGAAATTGCAACGTTACAAATTTACATCAATTTTTTGAAAAAACTGCAATTTCAATCAAAATGGATTATGAAAAGAGCTAGCTACCCTCATTTTGAAACTGTAATTGTCAATCTTAAGTCTTAGGTTACTGCTACTATACCCAAACCAGAATCCTTAACATATATAAAAGGTTAACCTCTGGTGAAAATCCAGAAGTTACTAGTACATGTAACTACCGAGACAGGCACTGTTGCCTCAAATTAAGGAATTTTGTGCAATGTCTAGACATTACCGTTACACAGATAGAACGTCATTTAGAGGGCATCATTTAAAAAACATAGCATTTTTCAAAGTGAACTCATTTTGTTGTTTACTTTTTAATGACTGTCAAATTATGTGAATAGAATTGGACAGTATATGCAATGTTTATAATGCATTTGTTGTAATTCAATATTCATTACATTTAGGTTTTACAGAATCTTGAAATGGTATCATATATTCTGGGACACCCTGTATGCTATTGCTTTTTAAATAAAATTAAAAAAAAAATAAATAAATTTAAAAATCTATCGATTTTTGAGCACACAACCTCTTCATACATGTGCGCCGTAACAGTGCAGCATAATTGTTTTACTGTTTTTTTTTTGTTTTTTTGTTTTTTTGTTTTTTTTTTTTTTGCAAATAAATTCTACAGGTCTTTTTTCAGAAACTATCATCAATTTACTCATGTAAGGTATATTGTACAAAATTTTAATGATAATAGTACATGTAATGTAATAAGACCTATGAAAATAATGAATATGTACATGAAGTAGAAAAATTACTTATATATGTAATGCCCATGCGCGGATCTGGGGGGGGGGGTGCCACATGTCTAGAATGCACCTTGAAAAACGGTTCTGATTCTATTTTTCTGAAATACTGAAAACACTATATACATCGATATCCTCATTCACTATGAGTTGTACATGTACACATCAAATGGATGTCATGGATCCGATTTTGTAAATATAAATTATGTATCTCTCATTCATAAAAAATGCATTTCACCAATTAACACGTGCTTCGGAGTTCCTTATGCGTGCAGTACGCATGTATTGAAATACAGGTATGTTGCTAAAGGTGCTACCTCCTTTATTTGATTACACCTGTTTACATCTGACAAACAGATGTTTCCTATTCTTTCAAACAGGCAAGGCACAAGTTGAAAGGATTCCCTTTGGTACAGTTTGCACCCCGTATCAATTATCCATACGAAGTCGTTTAGCGCGTTTTCGTGTTTGCTCTTTTAATTAAATCACAGTACAGTTCTCATACATATTTGAACATGCCTTATATAAATAATTCAGACATTTAGTAGCCTTCCTGGGAAAATTAAATCTTAACTAACTTTCTCTTTGTTTTCTTATGTAAACAGATTTGGTTATGGATAGTTTCTCTCTTATTACAGAAGTGGAAACATGGCACAGGTAAGGCTCGTATACAATTTGTATAGTCTTATGATTATTTTTACTCACTTTTTTAATTTTGTTTAAAATAATTCCATGAACAATGGAGAAATCGGTTTACTAAATATTTAGCAAATGTATATGCCAACTAAAATCTTTAAAACATCTTGTTGTCAGCTTGGGAGGGGGGGGGGGGGGTGAATAAAAGCTTTGAAAAGAATTTATACGATATTTTTGGTATTTTTAAAAAATGTAAAAATTGTTTTCATTGCAAGTAATACAATTTTTAGCTAAATTTTCTTGCTTGTTAATGAAAAAATAAATAGATACAAACTATATAATAATATTTCTATAATCAATTATCTGTTGTATGATTCAAGTGTACCATTGTAGTATTACACATTGTAAAACAAAACGAACAAACAAAAAACAAACAAACAAACAAAAAAAGAAAGAAAAAAAAGAAATCAAATTATGGATAAATTTGCAACCATGCAATCTAAATAAAATTTCACATTATGCAAAATGAAAGTAATATATTAAGATCGATTGTTATTAACGAATTAAATTGCTTTGTGCCTTTAATTGCTTGCACGTTCAATATGAAAAATGTTATATATTTTTGTGAAAATCTGCATCTTACGCACCATTTTTAAAATCATTTCACAAGAGATTAAGACTGGCAAATATCACAAGCATCGATCGCTGTGCAAATTAAAGTAGCCAAAGTTTTTTTTAAATAAAAACAAGATGTGTTTGTGAAACACTATGCCCCCGATGGTAACACAATTCTGGAGTTGGACGTAGACTACAGTACAATAGTTATGGCCAATGTTAAAGTTTTTCAAATGTAGGTCAAAGGTCACAGTTGAGGTCACATGATCAAAAATTTCTGTACCAATGGAAAGGTCTTGTCATAATGAACACTAATGTCAAATATTAAAGTCTTACCCTTGACAGCGCAATAGTTAAGGGCTAGGTTAAAGTTGACAACAGACAGACAGACAAACAGACAGACAGGACAAAAAGAATATACACCCCCGGGATCTTTCGATCCAGGGGCATAAAAATTCATTTTAATAAATAATTATATATACATGAATAATATTTCATGCTATTACACAGAAAAGCCATACCTTACAGAAACGCCAGAATCCTTTTTGAAACAGTATACCAAAAACTAATTCAACAAACTTTAAACGGACGCATTTTAAATTCTTTCATGCATACGTAATATTTCAGGAAAACTGTTAACTTTTGCTGTTAATTGTTATATTTTTCTTTGTGTATGTGTATCCCAAACTTTGAAAGATCATATTTAAGTAGATTATGATCAATCCTTAAAAAATAAAATAATGTCATTATTAAGTTATGATTATACAGTTTGTATAAAAAACATCCAGAGGAACCTTTCTTTTTCTACATCTCTTCTGTCTTTTGAATGTAAGCATATATCAGTATGTGTGATTGATTGTGAATAACATTAAAAACCCCATACCCCCTAGTCAGGTTGGGTTGTAGGGGTATGTAAAATCCTGACTGTATATTTGAATAAATGTGTATAGAAAAAAATACACATTCTTTTTCCTAAATTTAAAAAAATTCTTTGTTTTATTTTCATCGCTTAGGGAGGTAATCCATGGCGGCCTGTGTCCAAGATAAGCAGTGAAGATGGCAGCGAGTCGTTCTTCAAGACAGCGATGCGCATCGAACTCGAAACTGCAGAGGACACCATGAAAAGGGTATCCACAGATACTCCAGCCATAAGAGTTGGAATACCGGAAGAAGCAACAGAAAATGACGACTTCAAAATGCCAGTAGTGTCAACAAAATCTTATCACTTAACCAAGGGAATCCCTTTATTTCAAGTCAGAAGTCCTTCGCCTAGGGCAGTTTCTCCAGATCGACTCACGTCGCCATTCTTTCAAAGAACGAGGATGAATAGAGAACTCGAGAATCCGGATCCTGTTTTAGACCTTAATAAAGCTTTAACCATGAATCGAATAGCCAAGACCCTGGTATCAAACCAGAAAACAAGGTTACAAAGATTAGAGGAAACCGGAAATGTTACAATAAATTCACCTCTCAAGCAATTTAACCCAAATCTCGTCAAATCTCACCTGTACAAGATACTGAAAGACAACCTTAAAGACATTAGATATGATCCGAAGTTATGTCTTCCATTGTCAAAGTCACTCAGCGAGAAAACTCGAGATGCAGTCAAGGCGTTGAAATTTCCTAGATACAAATTTGTTTCAGTAGTTACCATTGGACAGTTACAAAGTTCTACTATATCAATATGCAGCAGGTCTTTATGGAATTGCACAACTGATAATTATGCCTGTGCTGAATACAGAAATGGGACGATCTATGCAGTTGCTATGATCTACGCAACTTTTCTAGACTGAGAGGTTAATAAAAATCCTGGTCACGGCACCAGTTAACATTATAATAGGTAAACAAAAGAGAAGCAAAATAGTGTACATTTTCTTATAAGAATAATTCTACTTTGTAGCTTCAATTTAATTACCATAATAAATATTTTTTTATAGACTAGATTAATTATTGAATATATGAAATGCACTTTTCTATGACCACAGCTTAAAAGCAGATCTTCAGAAACAACATTTATTGAAATAGTAACATTGAAAGAAAATAAAATCTGCATTTAAAAACAGAAATATTTCTGCAATTCTGAAAATGATAAAAATGAGGAAATACTGATATCATTGTAACAAATATTGATTGGTGCTAAAAAAAAAACGTTAACTCAATCTCAAACAATACATTTGATTGTAATTGAATGTAAAATATAAGTTACACACAAAATGTAATAGTCACTCTTTCTGCAATATATATATATTTTGTATTTTTTAAAGAAATCACATGGATACACATATAGCTTCTTCGTTAACGTTACAGAATACTACATTCAGGATTCGGTTTGATCATGTAATATTTGAAGCTCCTTCATGCATAGCCACTGAATTTTGTCTTTACTAAATGCAGTGTAGAACCAACCTTTATATCAGATTTCTTTTGCTTTAATTTGTAAATGAGTTGCAATTATAACATTGTCATAACCAATCTGAAGTACACCCCTTCCCTGTTTTTTTTTTAATTTATTCTTTAATGATTACTTTAAGCAATGGAAATATTGATTCATGTATTTTGAAAAATAAGAGCATTCAATTTAATTTAGATCTGTTCAAAATATAATTTAAATGTTATCCACGATCGTAAAATTCAAGTGTTTAACTCAATATCCTGATAACTTATGTGATATTCTTAATAATGTATTTCACTAATTAACAATTTTCAATTGCCAATGAGTACATGACTAAGAAGAAGGTACGGTTTTAGCTTTATTGTGCCCTAAAAAGTTTAATGTTTTCAAAAAAGTTTAGAAACTAGCTTAAATATTATTTGAGTATACATGTGACCATGATAAATCAGGAAAGGAGTACCATTCTGGAAATATGACGTCATAAATCCGATGCATTTCTCTATTTTAAACAGAAAAAAGCCTCAAAATGACTCATTTCAATATTTATTTTCCTAAATCGTGTCAACAGCCTTCGCCCAATTTAATTTTCGGATATGTTGTGTAAAATCCTTTGTAAAATCACATTTCTCAAAATCTTTGGGGGCGATGCCTGTGGAAAATATCTGAAAGATATTCCACTGAAAATTGGTGTCTTCTGTAAGTTTTTAAGAAAATACGGGACAATACAGAAGTTTATGATGTCACAATTAGCATTTAGAAGGACATATGAGAAAAATGATTTGTATGATCTTTCTGCATGGAATTTCAATGATTAAGAAAGCATGAGTTGTATTTTTTTTTTTTTTTTTTTTTTACATTACTTTCATTTTTAAGAAAACACAAGGCAAGATTTGTATTGAAACCGTACCTTAATTGTTCTTCAATTAATCATGTACTCATTGGCAATTAATTGAAAATTGTTTATTCATCAAAGAAAGTAATTATTTTAAAAAAGAAAACCTAAATAAAGATAAAACTATTATGCACCAAATATTTCACCACAGAGAGTCATAATGTGGAATCAAGCGCCCCCACCCCTCGCCCGTATAACAAACAATCAAAGAAAAATACATTGCACGCATCAGAATATAAATCAAATCAAAGATCAAATACATGTAAATAGACGCATTAGAAAATGTTTAAAAAATATTTGAATTCTTCTGAAACAAATCTACGACTTGATGTCTAAAAAATGAAAAGAAAATTTTTCTAGAACAACTTGTCCTATACTTCACTCGACTGAACGTCAGACATGTCCAAATCGATTCCTCTGTTCTTCATATAATCTCGAAAAGATAACATAGACACTTCCTCCTCCTCTAGCTTATGAATATCAAACCCAGTCATATCCTCTACGGACACGGAAGAGCCCGAGGACAGAGTATTTGACACAACACTCGGCCTTTGCCGAAGGTGCTGTTCGGGAATGACGTCATGGTTTGCGCAATTGCAGTGACTGTCTTCCTTCAAAGGATAAACACTGTTTTTAGTCATTTGATTTAGCATTAATGGTAAGGGATAGCGACCCTTGTCTAATGATTTTTCCTCCACAACAACAGGGTGATTTTGTTGTCTTCTTCTGTAAAGATCACTATCGTCAATTTTTAGGGTTGGAGGGGACCTCCTTTGTGACACAGAGTTTTTGTTGAGTAAAGGAACATCTTCAATCTGAATAAGATGTCCATTTTCATTTACTTTCCTTGGAACATCGTCACTGATATTAATATGTGAATACAGGGGATCTCTTGAGTTTCTTGTAGTAAATTTAACACGTGAATTATCAATTCGATTGACATTAAATGGCTCACGTTCATTCAGTGAATGCAAGGGCTGAGATTTAAACGGAATAACTGAAGGTATGGCATTATCTTCAACATGAATATTTGATAAATTATTTAATGGAAAATTGTGTTCTTCTTTATTTTCCTCTTCCAAGGCGGAATCATAACCACCCAATAAAGGACTACGATCGGAATGCCTCGGGGAAAGCCGATACATTCCCCTGTTTTCTGTTGAGTCCGATACGGGTAGAGATAAGAAAATTTCATCACTGTTGATAGAACCGTCCGATTCATGACAATTTTTGTCAGGCTTTCGTCTTCTGACGGATGATTTTGCAACAAAATGCTCCAACCACTCTGCGTCTGTCTGACATTCCGAATCTTGTTTCGTTTTCTTCTTTCGTTTTTCACTTCCACTTCGCGATTCCTCTTTTGAACTTATTGTCGATAATCGATCATCTTCATCGCCTGAATTCGAATTTGAGTGATCTTTCTTGCTCCAGGGAAACTTCTGGTGATTTGGAATGCGGATGTGCATGGAATTCTCGCGGTTCAGTTTGATATTGGGTGGGAGAGAGGCAGTCTCCTTTCTGTTGTTGGCCGTCTGTTTGTGGTTTAGTTTTAACTTGCCAAATGAAAACTTTTTACGGTGTAGCAACCCACTTCCTTTCTCGAAGGGCCTTTCTCTGAAAATGGACAAGATGATTACTATAAACATATATATCAAATACGTAAAGCTCTACGATTATTTTAAAATGTTATAATTTCTAGATCTTCTGTATTGTTTAAATTTCGGAGCATTTTATCTTCCTCCTATAATGTACCAAAAAATGTTAAAGTCATTTATATTTATTTCATCTCACCATTAACAATTTCAAAACAAAAAGGAGGTTTTGAAAGTTAAACTAATATTTTTGTTTGTTTGATTGTTTTGTTACTTTGTTGGTTTTGTTTTCTTTTTGCTTTTTTTTTTGGTTTTGTTTTGTGTTTTGTTTTTGTTTTTTTTGCGTTAGCATTTCAAGACTAATTTGATTTAGAACCTGCAGCAATTTACTATTGCATATCACGTAAAAAATGACATCACACTACATTCTGTACATATTCATAAATATATCGTGACATTTCTTTTCTTTCCTTGGAAGTTTCTCAAGTTTGTCAGATCTCCTGACGTCAACAGACGCTATATATACATGTTTTGGGCTTATCATTGTTAACAACCCATGTACGTACTGCTGGCTATGAAAACTTCGATTATCTTATATTGTTATTCAACATTAGAGGCTAACGTTCTAACGTCATAACATATATCATCCAGTACAGATACTGGCCATAAACATAAAGTCTCCCGACACCTTGATTTCCTCCTAGGGATTCTCAAGTATTGGTTTTCTCTTTGTTTACGACCTGATGTTCTAAATTTAGGCTTATCTGTGAATTTATTTACGGAAATTAATGAAAAAGTACTCTTGGTTGCTAAGAAAGACCTGAAATTGGTATTGCTCATTAAAGAGTATTCAATATCTATCTGAATATAAAGCTTATTGTGTAATAAATCGAATCTTTCAACTTACTTCCCAAAATCGTTTCCGCTTTCGGAATGATATGAAACTGACCCAATATGGCAGCGAACTTCTTTGGAAGTAGCAAACGCACTTCTTGTGTTCTTTTCTGGAGCACAGACAATGACATATATTTTGGGGATAAATAAAAGCACCAAGGCTACAGTGGCACTACCACTTATGGCGATAGACACAGCAAAAACCATTGTTCCACTCTCAAGATAAAAATAAATAGCAAAGAACCCCAGCCAAATGACACACGTTGTGTACATAATAAAACCTATAAATTTCGCCTCGTTAAAGTTTTCTGGCAGGTTCCTGGTCTTAATAGCATAGAGCGTACACATGAATATAAGCATCAGATCGAAACCAAATGGGACCGCTATGCCCATTGTGGTCGTATTGCAGATGAGTCTAACGCGTTTTATAGTTGGATAGTCCAACATTGAATCAGCAGGCTCTATGATTAACATCACCGTAATGATGGCACACTCTATTCCCACAAGGATACAAGTGATAATAACTTGAGCAGACGCACTCATAAATCGAGGTTTTTTGGTGATGATCTTCTTCGTTTCTTGCAAAATCCTTGCGATCCTATTGGTTTTCGTGACTAGAGAGCCATATATCAGGGAAAATGATAAGCCAGGTAAAATCCTTGAAAAGTAACACGTCACAATCGTTGGCTTGGCCACTAAGAAAAAGTTCGAAGAAAATGCCATGATGATTCCGAACATTATAATGTACATTAGTTCTCTTGTTGTTGCTTTAACTACAGGGGTGTCGTTGTGACATATGAAGATTACGCCAATCCAAAGTGTGCCGAAAATTCCTAAACAAGCAAAGGCCACGGCCACAACCGCCTCCGTGTCGTGCCACTTCAAGTACTCTATCTCTATTTCTTTGCAAGCTGAAAGAGACAGTTTGAAATATTTTATTATCCTTCAAATATTAAACGCAACAGTAAAATCTGTCAATAAGACAAACTATTAATATAAAATCAATATTAAAGTATAATGATGCAGTTTGAGAAAATTAGGAAGGGGGGATTTTTTTATGCCTCGATACAATTAATTTCTTCTCCTATGTTATTATAAGTCCATTACCTTCCTTTTGTAAATTAAGTAATGCTACAGGTATTTTAAGATACAATGTTTTCTATTTCACGATCGAAACATTAGCCCATCAAAAGATTTTCCGAAAGACGTACACAATAGATTATTGGCCTATAGTCAGAATCAGACATTCGTTGCTTCGTAAATAAAGATAGCGAGTTGTAATTCCAAATTCCTAGTTTGGGAAAGCAACCATAATTCAATGTTCCAAGAAAAGTTCTCTCCCAAATTTTTTGTTCTCAGTGGTGCAGTAAATCGTATAATCAAGCTTTCTGCCATATTATTGACACTGTGATTTGTCGCTGTTTGACAAGCATCTGCAACCTGAGTCGATTGCGAAGCTCTTATCAAATAATGTGCAAGGGTTAAACAATCAAACTCTCAGCTTACAGAATTTAATGTTTTGCAGTAAGGTGGAATAGGGTGTCTAAGGTATACACATTAATTTTTGGCAATAAATAAAATGACTAAGATCCAAATAATATGGTAATAAGGTTTATTCGATTTGACCATTAAATAAAATGCAGTATCCGCATCAAAATCTTTCAAATACTGGTAAATTCATTTTAACATGTCAAACCTTTAAGTAGTGACCTGTATTTAGCGACTTCCTGTCACATGCGACCACTAAATTTTCACCCATGAATTCTTCATTTTAAAATTAATTATAGACTAAGTTTGAAATGGTTTCGACAAGAATTGTATTAAATTTGTGTACTTGCGCATAAAAGGGTACATGTATCTCATTTTCTTTGTAATTATCGTAGTGTTTTGTTTTTCCCTTCCTTGCATAATCTTGTCATGAGTAGTTTTAACATCCACTGTTCTGTCGTAAAAGTGTGAAATTTGACAAAACATTTTTGGATTTTTTTTTTCAAAAAATAAATTTACAATTAACGTAATTAAAAATAAAAGAATTTGTACAAATGAATATGTATTGCATATATTTTACCAAGAAAAATGAAAATGATTCAAAACTAAAAGTGAAGGACAGGAAACAGGTAAACAAGTTAACCACAAAAAAAAAATGAATTGCAATTAAGTTTTCATAGATTGAAATTGCTAGAATATGATTCCTTGAATTAGGAGACTTCCTGTCATGTGTGACCATTTAAGGATTTCCCTTGATAGGTCGCTTAATACAGGTTTGACTGTATACTTATATTACAACACAAGGTCAATTTTATACTAAAGCATGATTCAAATTGCAAAATAACATGCACAATACTAAACAAATACTAGTATGAATTTGATATTCTACCTGTCAAATCCTCATTTGGCCACCAGCCAACTGCGCATGCTTTACACGTGTTGGAATCCATCATTATCTCGTTTTCCTTACAGGGAATACAGGTCCAACAACATTTCGTCTGCTCGTCTAATTTCTACAAAATCAGTTTCTGTTAATTCATCATTTCCCTTAGTTTTGCCAAGAATAGTACTAGAAATTTCCGGCACATTTTTGTTCATTATTTTTTTCTATTTAAGATCGATAAAATTGTTTTTATTACTGTATGATCATAAAAAATAAGTTTATCTTTTTGAATAACAGAAATATATTTTATTGTTTTCAGTTGAAATATCCCTTCTTTGTTGGACAAAAAAGAGCCATGAAAAAATTGTTTTACAAAGCATCGCCAGGATCGTACCAGTATTGAAATTTGTTAACCAAATCCTGCGATGTGACGAGAATATCATTCAAATATATCTGTAACAGATGTACTTTTTTCTAATTACTTTTGTTTTGGATTATATAGATTTCCCTGGAGAAAATTGCAATAAAAATTCTACTTTGTGCATAAAAAATGTCAACCAATAATTGAAAATGGTACCGGCCTGATATTCCCGGAACAGGAAATTGCGCAATACATCAATTAGTCGTCTAATATGTTCCGAATTGCAATAAACGGCTTCGTTAGTCGCTACAAGATCTTGGGAATTTTGCGGATTCAGAAGCAATTAAATCCCGAAGCAAACTATCTATAGATTATTTTTCCATGTCAGTTCCAAGGCAATTCGAAATGCCTGGAATTTAACTGTAAAAGGACGTAAAAAAAAACAATAAATTTCAATATATATGTAATCAGATTGGTTGATTTGTTACGTTCTCAGAAATTTGAAAAATGAAGATACTAACTGATGTTAATAATAACAAAAAAAAAAATGATATTAAAAAATTCAGTCATTTGAAACTTGATTACTTAGAACGGTATTTAAAAATAAATACCCCCCCCCCCCCAAAAAAAAACGAATATGTTCATTGGACATGAATGCCCTGCCAAGAAAATTTGTATTGCACTATGAAAAAAAAATATACCCTCCTTCTTTGGACAGAGATAATGGTAAAATATTATGAAAGAGGATTTTTTTTTTATTCACAGGTATTGATACTCTCAGTACAGTTGCTGTCCTTTAAAGCATGGTACGTAGTGTTTAATCAAATCATTTTACAGCTTCAAATGCTTCCACAGTACATACATGTATTTTGATATACAAAGTTTGAATAAAAAATCTTCACAAGTGAAGTTGAAGGTCATATGGGAAGGCAAACGTCATAACGAAGGTCAAGGTCAGAAAATAATGAGACAGGTTAATTGCTCTTTCCAATATGTAATTTTGTATAAAGTATGATTAAAACATCTTGAAAAGGTACGTGTACTGTGTTGACTGTTTTTGCTAAATTATATTTCTTTGGAGATTTATTTTCATTCTGCAATTCAACCAATCACTGAATCCAAAAATTTGGCATATAATTAATGAATAATTTGCTTCATTATCAAACAAAATTGCCTATGGGGGATACGTACATTTTGAAAATGAATGATGCATAACTTATGAAGTAAAACTTCGACGCAACAAAAGGAGTTTAATGAAAAGGGAGGGAGGCAGAGAAGGAAATTTGTGAAAAATAATTTCGTTAATTGTGTACACGTTGTATTGGCTTAACTCTGTTTCAAAATTGTCACGTACCACATTTATATATTAATAAATCTGCTAAGATCATTCCTAGAATCGCACTGCGTTCACACTTTATGTTCATATATCAAGTCATTGACTAAATTCTGAAAAAAAAATCAACAATTTGAAGTATTGATTAAACACACCTTGATTGAACCTTTGGCACAGGGGTCGCTGCAGACGGATGCCTCCGGGTTACCAAATCCACTGGACGGCCAATAAATAATAGACTCATTCATAGAGAGCTGACCAGTTTCCCAGCGTCCCACTCGGAGGTATTTATACGTCACATTTCCCGTCTCGTCTTTGATCTTTTGAAAATTCATAATGTCGTACCTAAGTAAGGTAAAAAGAAAAACATCTTACAAAAGACAATGAGAAATGCCAGTGTTAGCGAAAGAGAGCAACAAACTAGCAGACATTATGCTCAAGAAAAATTTAGAAAATCTACCAGACAAGATAAACAAGAGGCCCATGGGCCACATCGCTCACCTGAGCACATTGGCTAGGCAAAAGCACAATCAGTTCAGTATTGAAAAGAAGGGGGGGGGGGCTTGAATTTTAAACTACCTGATGATGCTTCCATGTCAATATAACAAATGGCTTTGTTGTACTTGAGAAGATTTTTTTAAAAAAATTCCCATGTATTCCTTTGTAAAAATTTGATCCCTCATTGTGGCTCCTCCCTATCCCAGGGGTCATCATTTGAACAAACTTGAATCTACTCTACCTGAGGATGCTTCCATATCAATATGACTAAACATAGCTTTTCTGTTCTTGAGAAGAAATATTTTTTCTATATGTTCTTATGTAAAACTTTCCATCCCCCATTGGGCCCCATCCTACCCCTGGGGGTCATCATTTGAACAAAATTGAATCCACACTACCTGAGGATGCTTCCATATCAATATGACTTAACATAGCTTTTCTGTTCTTCAGAAGAAGATATTTTCCTTTATATTTCTATGTAAAACTTTGATCCTTCATTGTGGCTCTGCCCTACCCCCGGGGGTCATGGTTTGAACAAACTTGAATCTACACTACCTGAGGATGCTTCCATATCAATGTGACTAAACATAGCTTTTCTGTTCTTGAGAAGAAATATTTTTTCTATATGTTCTTATGTAAAACTTTCCTTCCCCCATTGGGCCCCACCCTACCCCTGGGGGTCATCATTTGAACAAAATTGAATCTACTCTACCTGAGGATGCTTCCATATCAAAATGACTAATCATGGTTTGCAGTTCTTCAGAAGAAGATATTTTCCTTTATATTTCTATGTAAAACTTTGATCCTTCATTGTGGCCCCGCCCTACCCCCGGGGGTCATGGTTTGAACAAACTTGAATCTACACTACCTGAGGATGCTTCCATATAAATATGACTCATCATGACTTTGCAGTTCTTGAGAAGAAGATTTTTAAAGATTTTTCCTTTATATTTCTATGTAAAACTTTGATCCTCCATTGCGGCCCCGCCCTACCCCGGGGGCCATGGTTTGATCAAATTTGAATCTACTCTACCTGAGGATGCTTCCATATAAATATGACTCATCATGGCTTGCTGTTCTTGAGAAGAAGATTTTTAAAGATTTTTTCTATACATTTCTATGTAAAACTTTGATCCTCCATTGTGGCCCCGCCCTACCCCCGGGGGTCATGATTTGAACAAACTTGAATCTACACTACCTGAGGATGCTTCCAAATAAATATGACTCAACATGTCTTTGCTGTTCTTGAGAAGAAGATTTTTAAAGGTTTTTCCTATATATTTCTATGTAAAACTTTGATCCTCCATTTAGGCCCCGCCCTACCCCTGGGGGTCATGATTTGAACAAACTTGAATCTACACTACCTGAGGATGCTTCTATATTAATATGACTCATTATGGATTTGCTGTTCTTGAGAAGAAGATTTTTTAAGGTTTTTCCTATATATTTCTATGTAAAACTTTGATCCTCCATTGTGGCCCCGCCCTACCCCCGGGGGTCATGATTTGAACAAACTTGAATCTACACTACCTGAGGATGCTTCCAAATAAATATGACTCAACATGTCTTTGCTGTTCTTGAGAAGAAGATTTTTAAAGGTTTTTCCTATATATTTCTATGTAAAACTTTGATCCTCCATTGTGGCCCCGCCCTATCCCCGGGGGTCATGATTTGAACAAACTTGAATCTACACTACCTGAGGATGCTTCTATATTAATATGACTCATTATGGATTTGCTGTTCTTGAGAAGAAGATTTTTTAAGGTTTTTCCTATATATTTCTATGTAAAACTTTGATCCTCCATTGTGGCCCCGCCCTACCCCCGGGGGTCATGATTTGAACAAACTTGAATCTACACTACCTGAGGATGCTTCTATATTAATATGACTCATTATGGATTTGCTGTTCTTGAGAAGAAGATTTTTAAAGGTTTTTCCTACATATTTCTATGTAAAACTTTGATCCTCCATTGTGGCCCCGCCCTACCCCCGGGGGTCATGATTTGAACAAACTTGAATCTACACTACCTGAGGATGCTTCTATATTAATATGACTCATTATGGCTTTGCTGTTCTTGAGAAGAAGATTTTTAAAGGTTTTTCCTATATATTTCTATGTAAAACTTTGATCCTCCATTGTGGCCCCGCCCTACCCCCGGGGGTCATGATTTGAACAAACTTGAATCTACACTACCTGAAGATGCTTCCATATAAATATGACTCAACATATCTTTGCTGTTCTTGAGAAGAAGATTTTTAAAGGTTTTTCCTACATATTTCTATGTAAAACTTTGATCCTCCATTGTGGCCCCGCCCTACCCCCGGGGGTCATGATTTGAACAAACTTGAATCTACACTACCTGAGGATGCTTCCACATGAGTTTCATCTTTCCTGGCCCTGTGGTTCTTGAGAAGAAGATTTTTAAAAGATGCTATTAATTTTTCACTAATTCTTTATTATCTCCCCTTGAAAAAGGACGTGGCCCTTCATTTTAACAAATTTGAATCTCCTTCACCCAAGGATACTTTGTGGCAAGTTTGGTTGAAATTGGCCCAGTGGTTCTTGAGAAGAAGTCGAAAATGTTAAAAGTTTACAGACAGACAGACAGACAGACAGACAGACAGACAGACGGACAGACAGACAGACGGACGCCGGACAAAAAGTGATCAGAAAAGCTCACTTGAGCCTTCGGCTCAGGTGAGCTAAAAATTTACCAGATAAAGGAAAAGAAACTGAAATTTTGTTTTTAATTCATTTTTAGTATAGTTTATTTTGAATAGTGACTGTGACAGTTCAAAACATAAACATGTTTATCTGTACCACAATTGCTTTGCCATTTGATAAATCACGTACATGTTATCAAGAATGACACGCATAATTGAGAGTAAATAAAACGCATGGAATGGGCACTTGGGAAACGAGATGTTATGATGGTCAACCATAATTCAATAAATTTGGTGGGTAAGAAGAAAATTCATTTTATCAAATTAAGTCCTTGTTTGCAGAGAAGTCAATAAGAAATGCAAAATAATACGATTTTTATTCTATACTTGTATGCCAATATCTAGGGGGACAGTTTGTCATTTCAGGTTCTAAGTATAACTCTGGTAGTTTGGGGTCTTTCGCCGTTTAATTACGAAATGTGATTATTTGTGAGAAATAAGCGATTAAAGTGACCAGACGTTTTATGAAGCTCCTCTATATCAACTAGGTTACCATATAGTGGGTTTCTTTAGCGGTTGTAAAATTGGGCGTTTTGCATGCTCAAAGGTATGCCAATAATTTTGGAACTATTTTTGGCGGATAGGGTGTTCCATGAAGCCGAAGGCCAGAATTTTTTGGTGTTGCTTAACAGAAGAGTGTTTCAGGTACCTTAGACACATAAATATATCTTAAGTGAGCCTTCTGTACAATTGAATAATATACCGATTTACACAAGAGCACAGAAAGGCGTAATATTCAATAACGGGTTGATCAGAATTATTTTTCTTGAGTTTTGTACTTTTACGTTAAGGTGCAAAATTAGCGATTACAATTTTAGCGGGTTAATACCAAACCGTTAAAATAAGCCAAAGTTAGCACCCCGCTAAAAATCCCGCTATACTGTATTATAGTTAAGGTATATCACGGGTTTCATTAAAAGTTCAGTTTTATTTTTTATTTTTGATTGTCTATATATGTTTAGAAACACTTTAAATATACTAAACCTAATTTCAGGTCGAGTAAATATGGATATCAAATACCTTGCTGGCGGATCTCCGTTTTCATCGTAGTGAAGTTCATAATTGCTATAGGTTGTCAAAGAAACATTCAATAGGTAATTTAGGTACAGTTCTCCTTTGACTGGAAGCATCTCCGGGCAAAGCCCTGCGTTACTACCGCATATGTCCTCCCGCATATTGTGTAGCGCATGCGCCATGGTGTATATAGCGTTGATGACGAAACCAAGTTTGGAATCCTGTACATATTCTCCGTTTCTCCTTGTTTCCTTTCCTGTGAAAATTTTAAGATTATTTGAATATTGACAAATTGCGTGCATGGTGTGTTTTATGTGGATTACCTGACTGTATCCCTTGGAACATTGTAAAAAAGTATAATTAAACAAAATTTATATTACAAACTAAGCATTAAAATACATAATAATTTTACTTCTCTTTGTGTGCTTCATTCCAATAATTTTAGTGTTATTTGACAGTTCCTTACCAGAACAAAAACGTTAATAGCAACCTTACAACAAAACTTTATGATAACCCTGATGAATTCTATCATTCTATCGTCAAATCCCCTTGTCATGCAGCAATATACCATTATTACCTGCATATGGAGTTTATGTCTCCCAGTTAATTCGATACTCAAGAACATGCTCTACGTACGAACAATTTCTTACACGAGGCAAGCTGTTAGCAAATAAGTTGATGATTCAAAGATGACAACAATCCCGTTTCAAGTCAACACTTCGCAAATTCTATGGTGGATACTATGACCTTGTTAGCAAATACTCTCTAGTCTCATGCTGACTGACGTTTTTCATACAAATTGTTAGGCCATTATTTTTACACTGAATTGTCTACGGATTTTTCCATTTGCCTGATCATGACAAGGAGCACACGGTGGGTGTGACCAGTAGACAGGGCATGCCGTACCTGACCCCACCTCTGATGTTTTTAGAGGTCCGTGTTTGTCTGCTCTCAATTTGTATTGTTCCTATGGACATTTGAGCTTGATTACTGCTTATTTTTTTTCACATTTCATCCTTGACGTGTACTATAGAATACCTTTTGTATCATTTGTGAATGCATGGATGAAAGGAAAATGCACATACATGTATCAAATACATAGCATTCCAGATTTATATGTTTTATATGCTTTTACAAGAAGAAGACCTAGATATAGATGTGTATACATTCAATTTCACATTTTGAACAGACATAGTTAGATCTTCAAGGAAGGCCAATCGCAACTTCTCGGACCTTTCCGACAATCGGTATAAGGCGTCCAGCTGTCCACAAAACCCCCTTCTCAGAAACATTGAAATAAAACTAGAAAAACCTCTTATCTGTAGAGTCTGAATCTATACTTCATTGAATGCAACGATTTAACCTAAATTATACTACAGAAGAGACAATCAACCCTGTCTAGCCAATACTTTGATTGATAGGAAGCGACTCCATTTTGAACAATTTTTCAGTTTACATCGGGTGATGTTAATTTTCTGGGCCTGAGAAGTTGCGATTGCAAGGAAGGGTGAGTTGGAATCCACTAAGTAGACAGCGGATTGAGTGATCTCTATGTGTCCACAATGCTATTCTATATAAATGCACTCACAAAAAAATGCTATAATTCAAACCTGTGCATTTCTTGAATCCTTTTTCTTTAACTACTTTGTCATCAAATGTGCAATCGTAGGTTTTTGCCCAGAATTCTTTAAACCAAGGGTTCCGTGTGTTGGTGTAGGGGTTTAGGCTGTTAAAGTAGGGATCGAAATCCTTAATTTTTGGTGACGTCAGCTTGATTGACATCCCTCCAGCTACATTTTCTTCATTTCCTCTGACAACGTCCGGTCTGTCGTTCCAGCCATCACTTAAAGATTAAGGATTCAACCATCACTTAAACATTAAAGGATTCAACCATCACTTAAACATTTAATTAAAGGATTCGACCATCACTTAAACATTAAAGGATTCGACCATCACTTCAACATTAATGATTCAACCATCATTGAAACATCAAAGGATTCACATATTTATCACTTAATCATTAAATGGTCGCCCACGTGGCGCAGTGGTTAGAGCGTCTGCTCTAGAGTCGCGAAGTAAGGAGTTGATCCTTACGTCGCGGGTTCGAATCCCACTGTGGGACGTGGAGAGCGGTCCTTCGGATGAGACCGTATAAACCGAGGTCCCGTGTCGCAGTAGGTGCTGGCACGAAAAAGATCCCTCACTGCTCAATGGCCGTAAGTGCCGAGTATAGGACAAAATTTGCAGCTCTCCACCGGCAAGTGGTGGCGTCTCCATATGAGTGAAAAATTCTCGAGAGGGACGTTAAACAACATACAATCAATCAATCAATAAACATTAAATGATTGCATCACGTATTACACATTAAAGGATTCGACCATCACTCAAACATTAAAGGATCCACCCATCACTTAAACATTAAGGATTCAACCATAATTAAAACATCAAAGGATTCAACTATCAATAAAACATTAAATGATTGCATCACTTAAACATTAAAGGATTCAACCATCACTTAAACTTAAAGGATACAACCATCATTCGAACATTAAAAGATTCAACCATCACTTTGACATTAAAGCATCGATTTTTAGTTTTCCATAAACATATATTAGATGCACATGTTGAAGTTTGAACTTACACTTATTTGTTTTTTAAGTATCCAAAACGTAAAGCATAAGAAGTAGAGCTAGAAAGATATGTTTAAGTGTTTGTTTACACCATGTTAAGTATAAATCGATTGTGATATATCTAAACTACAATATTTTTTTTCTGTTTTCATTTTTCAATTCTCAAACAACCTTTAGAGAAAACAATACTGGTTGACATTTTTCTCTTTCTCTCTAATTATTTAGATTAAAAAAAAATTATATTTAAAAATGCTCTTTAAATCATTAAGAATTTAAATATCTGAAACTCTTTGATTTTTGTGTTTTGTTTTAAAAGCTGCAAATTCGCAAGTGAATAGAAAGCAAATCCAGATGACTTCAAGCATCAATAAAGCAATCGTCGTTTCGCTTTACGTAATGGAAGTTTAATGTTTATAAAATAGCTCACTGAATTGCTGAAGTATTTACTTCTGAAAATGTCTTTCCTATGACCGAAATCCAATATTTTCTTCATATTTTATTCATGAGGAATGGACTCATCCTCTCCAAAAATTGACAGGGCTGGATATTTTTTAGCCACCGTGTATGTCATCACGATTAACAACATTGTCTCCAGAAGCACCTGCTTCAGTACCTTTTACATTTACTACATATACATTTACGGGGGAGGGGAGGGAGCCCGCCCTTTTTTCTGAGTATAGTACATGTGTACATGCATTTTGCTATAGTAAATTTTCATTCAGATGTTGTGAGGCCGAGCACTGGCTTTTTCCAGGAATTCAGCAATTAAGTTTTTTTTTGTGTGTGTGTGTTTTTTTGTTTGTTTGTTTGTTTTGTTTTGTTTTTTTTTCTTATCAGATTTTTTTGGGGGGTTGCTCCTCCACCCTTTTTGAAAACGTTCCTACGGGCCTGATATATTTTTTGATTGCTAACAACTTCAATTAGATGTAGGGACAACAAAACATTATATTACCTTCCTAAAACTAGAAAATGGTTTTTGGCACCAGGTACCATTGCGGTTGCGTTGTAGAGCGACCTGACCGTCTCCCCGTCACAGAAACATACAATGACCTTTGCCCTTTCTTTCTTCATCAGGTTCTTAATAATTTCTACATGTTCATCATCCGTAGCTCCACGTGCAATTTTGGCGGTTTTTGCTATACACACCCCAGCTTCTTCTGCTAGTTTTGTAAATGATTCGATTCCTCTTTGTCCATAATTCCCTTCAAGGTAAAAAAATAATATTCAGTATGCAAATCGTGCAAGAAGTGAGCTCAAGGTCTTGATAGCTTTGCAAAAATACTTGTACATAGTCAGTAATTTGTTTTTGTTGTTGTTGTTGTTTTTTTTTTTTTTTTTTGGTCGCACTTGGGGTGGGGTAGTAAAAGAAAATTTATATTTATAGTCAGCTTTTTGCAGCGCGCACCTTATTCACAATGTGTATATTGTTTCAATACTTATACTTACGTAGATGTATATTTTGATGTCAAAGTATAGAATACATTAAATACATCGTTGTCTTTTATAAATACAAAATCTGCATAAGCATTTTTATCAACATCAGTAACTCTGCCAGTAAACCTTATTTAATTAAGAAAAATAGAGAGAAAAAAGTAATTATTCAAATTTTACGACATTCATTTAATCTACACCCCAATAAAACCAGAACGTCTATTAATTGTGTACATGTATGGATATAATGTATATAACATGTATCCTAATTTCCAGACTTCCCAAAAATTATTTTCTAGCATCATAATGATTATATCTACATGTATAATAAATCGAACAAATGAAAAAAAAAAGAATTTCTTCCACCATCTCTTGAAACACATCCGACTTGTTTTCTTGGCGTGTGAGACGCGTCAAAAAATATCAAATTGATTTTTAAAAAAGCAGAATACCATGTATATAGTAATATGAATCAAAACTGTTGAATGACAAAAATATTATTAAATTTATCAAAAATACACATCTGCAATGAGACGTTTAATTTTCCTTGATTGAACATCAAGAAAAAACGAGTAATTACTGATCAACTGAATGTAAAGTGATACGTAGGGCTAACAACCGTTTTATATTATAATATTGACAAGTTTTCCATTAACACTTGCTAATGGAAACCAATTTGATACGGAACAACGATAACGTCACCTAAGAGTTTCCCCAACTGAGCTATTAGCGAAGCCATTGAAAACATACTGAATTGTCTAGAAAATGAACCAATGACACCAAAGGCACGACTCAACACGTAACACGTAACGTAGACTGCTATGTAGGTCTGTAATGAATGCGCCGGACTCTCATTCGCAGAATGTCAAAGTGAAACATAATTCACTCTTTGTGGCTTAGATATTGAGTAGATCGTTATAAACATGCAATGAGTGGTTTGTTGTAATAGATATTGCCATTTATTTCATCATTTTCAATGTGCAGATAGCAAGATTTATGATACAGATGGTAGCAGATAAAGTGAAAATAGTTCTACTTTTTTGTAACATTACGGCGTTGTATTTTTCACGGTTGTATATACATGTATAGGATATGCATGCATTTTTTTCTTCATATGGTAATATTCTTCACCATAATAAGAAAAATATTTGCATGTCTTAATACACCACGGTATGTATTTCGTACATACATTTTAAGAAGAAGTGGTGTTAAAAAGGTTTGGCGAATACACAACTTAATTGACAAATGACAAGTCCAATATTTTCGCTCTAGATTTATAGGGCACACAATATTTTGTCCAAAATTTTTTCGTTCATATTTGCCATGAGAAAACTTCTTGTTTTGTGAAGAATACCGAGGAATTGTGAAGGTGGGTGTCTTTACTCGTTGCATTTTTCCTTTTGCTCCAGCAAGAAACATACAAGAATGTCATTTTGTTTCAAGAAAATGTAACTTTTAAAAATCGATAACCAAAAAAAAAAAAAAAAAAAAAAAAAAAACCAAAACAAACAAACAAAAAAAAAACAAAACAAAAAACAAAAACAAAAACAAACAAACAAACAAACAAACAAACAAACAAACAAACAAACAAACAAACAAACAAACAAAAAAAAAACAAAAAAAAAAACAAATGAGTTTTTCTTTCCTTTTTCAACAAGGCTAAAAAGCGGAGATTTGGGAGTGCAAGCCTGATAACAAATTCAGTGTTACTGGAAATACCACGAATGTGTATATCTAAAGAGGAAGAGAAAGAAAACTGTTCAATAGTTTATTTTATTATCATTGGTTGTATCCTTAAGTAAAAAAAAAACATAGTCACGTGATTTTCAAAGAAGTGTCAAAAATTAAAAAAAATAAAATCGAAATCTGTTAAAGAACCTTGTGTCCTGAAATTGATCAGGTGCAATTAATTTATCAATAGATAACCTATCGTGAAGGTTGACAGGTAATTTTACATGCAACAACGAAATGTACATCTTACAGAGACCAAGATGACACTACAAGTTACTGTAACTGACAACGTCGAACTTACACTCCACTATACGAAATTGAACTTCTAATAATCATCGTAATTATATTTAATACATTCACGTACGAACCAGCAGATATTGTAAAATGAAGATGTTCATATAGAACACTGTCTTCTATCCTATATGCATTTATTTATCAAGGTTTTAAAAGACATCCTGTGGCTAAAAAAAAGATGCTTACAATGTTTCAAATTGATTAAAAAGTCTCGGGATTGATTTTTACACATCTAGACATTTATTCTCACTTAATATCAAATTTTGGCAAGAAAGTACCAAATTACGCTGCACATGTCTAGACAATTTTATGATAATTATAACAAATGGACGCTTCGCTGTCTGCGTTAAAGCATGTATTGTACGGAGCAAAAGCGCAGGAAGTATCTGAGAAAGCAATGAAGCACTGCTTCGTGAATAATCTTATGTTTCACTTAGTATTTCAAAGATAAATCAGAATAGAATTGCACGCATATCATTGCTTGAATCATCTTCAGTGAAACCACTTGACTTAAAGATACCAGTACGAATCCAATTGAAGAATAATGAACACAATTAACTTTCTGTTTGTATTATTTTGTTATATTTCTCACTGTAATACCATTTACATTTGAAAATGCAAAATCTAGCTATACAATTCAAATATCAAATATTTCATTTAGCAAAAATTGCACAGCACATATTAAACGTCAAGGGAAAATGTAACCATCACGTAGAGCAGTACATTTTCAGAGATTGCATGAAAATAATGCGCAGGAAAGAGAAAATAATTACTACTCTTTATGGTAGCCAATGACATAATGATTTTACATTGCAATAATTATTGCAAACAACTAAAGGCACAAAATATGCCAGTTTACGTCAATTTAGAGATGAAGTAGAAAAAATACATAATGAATGAAGAAGTGCACATGAGTGCATTAAATATATAGAATTAAATATTTAAATAAATAATGTAAATAAGAAAAAAATATATACATAACTCAACACACTTGTTTGCTTTTTTTGACAATCAGTCTCAAAACCACAAGGTCGATTTAATTAATCAAAAGAATTATAACTATTTTGGCATCAATCTGGTGAAAAACTCTAAATATGAAGGGAGACGGAGCAGTTGTTAATCTGTTTTATTCCATAGCAATAATTGAGTTTCCGAAGCAGGACGTAGGCAAATTTACAAGTTCAATGAATGTAACAATATTACTTAAGAAAGCGTCATCTGTCTAAGAAGGGGAAGGGGAATGGCCTTTGAATTACTGTAGAGACTAAATAAAGAAATTATTTTATTAATAGAATCGCCTATTTTTCTTTCTCAGAGAGATATATTAAGATACATATTTTGGTATCAATATTATTTGTATTCATATATTTTTTTAAAACTAATGTTAAGTGATAAACTGTGCAAACAGCCAAGTCAGTTCCATATCCTTTACAGCTGATGCAATGATTGTTCCAAAAACAATTCAATTTTTGTTATATCAAGACTTTTATTTGTAAGGAAAATGAAGTGAGAACATTTTTAGTGACACGACCTTATGTTTGCTTTTTCTTGATTATTTTCCCTTGGAAGGGGATTGTCCCTTCTTTTGAACAATTTAGAAACCCCTTTACCGAAGAATGCTTTATGCCAACTTTGGTTAAAATTGACCCAGTAGTTCTTAAAATTGAGAAGTTAAAAATGTGAAAAGTTTATAGATGGACGGACAGACAGATAGACGGATAGAAATATAAAAAGCTCATTTGAGTTTTCAGTTCAGTTGAGTTAATAAAAATTAAGATTTTTTTTTTTTTTTAGAAAAACGACCACATTCATTTACACGCAAAAAGTCTAAATAATCTTGAAAAGTGCAGCATTTTGTATAACAGTGAGAGAATCATTTTCCTTAACATCAATGTGCACCTATAATGTATATATCATTGATTGATTAGTAGATTGTTCATTAGAGAGTGCCCTGCTTTTGCAAAACTTTTACAAAAAAACCCAGATGGTATAGATCCGTATTTTTTTCTGCTTTGAACATAGGTACATGTACATCTGTTATCTATGCACATGGCTAGCATTTAGAAATAGTGGTGATATTATCGGGTTAAAAACATTTATTTTAATTAACTACGCAGGAATGTTTACATGAACTAACTTTTACCCTTTACGTAATTTGCTAAAAAAAAACGTACAAGAAATAAAAAAAAAATATATAACAGAATCAGCTATTTATAAATCTCTTTCACATGCAAATCAACTATATTACGTAATAGGTTTGAAACCCCCAGGGCAATGATTTGAACGAACTTGAATCTGCAACTCCCTGCTGATTTTGAGAAGAATTTTTAGAATATTTTCTTTGTGTATTCCTTTAGGCATTTATTCCTCATTTTGGCCTACGCCCCCCTTTCAGGGAGCCATGATTTAAAAAAAAAAGCTGGATATATTTTGCTATATATTCCCTTGAAAAACTTTGGTCCTCTATCTGAACCTCATCCTAACCCTTGAAGCCATGCTTTGAAAAAACTTGAAATGCACTATCTGGGGATGCTTGCATTTCATTACGTCTATGATCATTGTCTGTTATTCTTAAGACGATTTTAAAAGATTTTTTCCCTCCTTCTAAAAATTTAATCCTCTAATTTGGCCCAACTCTCGTGGACCATGATTTGACAAATTGCATTGTACCTGAGGATGCTCGAAAGTGATATGAATATTCATGGTCCTGTTTTTCTTTTTAAAGAAATTATATTGTTGGAGGGGG